AAGTTTATGCCTCTGTCATCTGTTTTCTTGGAAGTTCCTCAGTAGTTTATTGGACCTGTTTCCTTATAAAGGTTTTTTTCCACAGATTATTTATTTCACATTGGATCTACAAAGTGGTTATGAAGTCTAAAGAGAGACAGAGGAATGGCAGCAGATTCTTGTAAGATGCCTTGACACATGTTGCAGCTGATACAAGCCCATTATTATTTTAGTAATACTTGAAATATGTAACAATGAGCAAATGAGTCTGAAAATATCTTATGGTTCTTGTGCATCAGTGAGACTCCAGGTTAGTCTTGTGTTTATTGCCTTCTTGCTGCATAGGCTTCATAAGAGTAAGAGCAGAATTCCGTTTATTTACTGAGCTAATTGGTGGGATCCAGTGAGCTAGATGATGAGTGACCTGGTATGCCTTGAAGCTCAACCTCATTGGAGCACAAAACGCTAGTCCATACAAATGCTTGGAAAGATGAGTAGACATGTAAGGAGAGCAGTGTGAAGGGAACTCATGACTGAACATCAACGCAGAAGACTTGTACAGGAGGTAGAAATGAGGACAAGCTCGCTCAAGGCTATAAAAATACTGCCTGCATATACAGAGATGGTATTAAGAAAGCCAACATTCCACTGCAGTTGAAACTGGTAAGAGACATCAAAGGCAACAAGAACTTCCAGAACTGCATCAGCAGTTAAAGAAGAAAAAGGAGAAACATGGGAAATATGGGCTTGCTGCTGACTGTGACAGGTAATTTAGAGACAGTGACTATAGACAAGGCTGAGACATGTGGTGCCTTCTTTGCCTTGGTCTTCACCAGCTGGTCTTCTAGACCTTTGTACCTAAAGGTGGAGGGTAACTATCAATAGTGTAAGAGGGTTGGGCCAGGGTTTTGTTTTGGTTATGAACAAGGCAACTTTGCATGCTGTTGAATACAGGGCGTGAGTCTTCTAAAAATAGGAATGCTAATGAGGACTTGGAAAAAGAAGAAGAATGACAGTGACGTAAATGTTTGGGATGAATGTGAATGGCTGTTCACAGCGCTACTTCAAAATGTTCAATATGGAGTCTCTTCCACTTGGCTTGTCAGCAACCCTGAAGTGTTGCTGTTAATGAAGTTGGACAATTATAAAGTCATGCACTCCTGTCTGCTGCTTCTGAATTACTGAAAAATGTGGTTAGTAATACAGCAGATTGCAAACCAGATTTTCTCATAAGAATTAGCGTAATGGATGAGAGCAAATGGCTTTTGATACTTCAGAAGTGGACACAGTTGAAATATGCAGGGACAAATAAAGAAGAAATGAAGGATAAGGAGGCAGAAGTGAGATCATTAGGACTGTTAAACAGCAGGGCTGCTGGCTTTTTGTAGTGGATCACAGTTCTTACAGATTTCAGGTTTTTAATTTATAAAAGTAAGTACATAATCATTTCCCTGTTCGTCTGCCCTTCATCCTTGATTGTTTTAGATTAACCTGAAGGTGATGTTGACAATGATGAAAAGAGAACTGTTATGGAGGCAGTGAGAAAGCTGATAAGATTTACATCATATCTACTGTCAGTGTGTATTGAAATAAAATATTTAAGTCCCTATATGCATCATCTCTTCTTATCTTAGTACTTCTGGGAAAAAATGGTTTTACCATCCATCAGACTGGGGCATCTATCTGTGAGACTGATGATGGTTACCAGAGCGCAGTGTTAAACACTCAGCCATGGAAGTTTGACACAACGTTAAAGAAGCAACCGACAGCAAGATGTTCCTGTATTTGCCCTTCTTTTCTGAACAATCTATATAAAGTTCCTCTAGATACCACAGCTTAGATATTTCAAATTGGCATTAGGTGTTAGAGTCTGGAGGAAAACCTGTCACGAAAGGTTAGAACTTGTTAATGCTTCTCCGAACCTGTCATGAAATGAGTTTCTGGATTTCAGTTTGTGCTTGAAGTTGTGACAAGCATTCCAATAAGGTGACAAAACAAGCATGGTGCTGCTGCAGACTTACTTCTAAAAATTCTGTGATACCTTTGGTCATCAGTATTAGTCTCTGTCTACAGCTGTTGTATGAAGGACAGGCTGAACTGAATTTGTATTCTGAACAGGCCTGTGTCCCTCTCTTTCCCCCACTGGCAGAAAAAGATCAGCTTTGTGTTTACTGCTTTCCTTGCCTCGTTCCCAGGCAATTCTTGGTAATGGATGTGTATTCGGCCCTGATTAAGGAGTGCATCATTAGATACTGTATTATGTTCCAAGAGCAGATTGCTTTAATAAGGGAATGTAATGCAATTTGAAACTAATTTCCTGATCTGTGGAGTACTGTAGTGTCTCATCTAATGTATGACTTCACATTTGCGAAGGATCCAGATCGTTCATTCTACATCCAGAGATAGCTATGGGAGTGGTGTAAGACATGGTGTTTTAGTTCCACGCGTAGTTTGGTGTGTCCCCATCTCAGGTTCCTGCAATACCACTCTTGGAAAAACCAAACAACGAGCAGTAGTGTGGAGCAATTTGTTGCATGGATTTTGGTTTCCTGTCTTGATGAGTCCTTGGTAAGGACTTAAGCTATTAATTACTATTCCTTCTTTACTTGGACTACATGCTCAGGAGAAGCCACTTCGTCTAAGTCTTACTTCCAGCCCTTTGAGACTGAGTGATCATTTTAGCCACGTGTAAGAAATCTTGCTTAAGAGATGTTAAAAATATTTTTAATAAATGAAACTCTGGTGGTTTTGGTATGTTTTTTCTCAACGCAACTGATAGATCTTTGTTATGTCTCATCTTTTTAAGCAGGTATTCCACTTGTTTTAAATGATGAAGTTTGTTAAGAAGTGGTTTGCTGTTTGTCACGCTGAAATTTATGTTTATTTCACATTTTATAATATCAGTAGTTCTTCAGAAGTGTGCTATAAGGGCAGCTTGCTCAGGGAGGCTTCTAGAGCTAGTTTGTGCTTCAGCCAGATTGTTCATTGGTTACTCTTCAGTAAGATGTCCTGTCATAAGCACCTTGCACAGAAGGTGCCCAAAGTCGATTGGAGAAGGTCAGCTGAAGAAGAAAATTACTATTTACTTTCTAGGGGAGTCTTTTGAAGCAAAGAAGTCTTACTAAAGCTATCTTTCTCTTTCCTGTGACCCTGTCCTACCCCCTATTTTCTTCTAGGCAGTTGACCTCACTGCTGTCAAATTTGACTTAGATTTACTTTGAAAAATAAACACAATCCGTGCTGGTTTGTTATTCACCTGTTGAGACAAATAGCATTATTGATAACAGTATTTTTCTATGCCATAAAACATAATTATTCAGTAAAGTGTTAGAAGAAAAGAAAACTTTCGTTTGTTGTCATTGTTCCAGCTTTCTAGGGGTTTGGGCTTGTACTTTATTTTGTGCTTCTGCATACAAGTCCCATTTTAATAGGTTCTAATGCTAATGTAGTTTGTTTCTGTCTTGTCTTACCACACTAGTAGAACTGTGCTGTCTGATAGTGCTGTGTTGCTTGATCTCTGCTGATCTGTTTTTCATTTTTAGAAAAGTCACCTAAGATGTCACTAAATGTATGATATTTAAAAGATGTTCAACACCGCTTTTATATCATACTGTACTAGGTTATGTACTCATTTTGTGATTTACTTGAAGTCTTGAACCTGTTCTCTCAGAACTGTTAAGCTGAATCCAGGTTGTATAGCAGTAATGCAGATTCTGTCTGTCAGAAGCATCTGTTATTTTGTTTTTGTTTTTGTTTTTTTTTAAGAGAATTGTTTGGTAGTAGCATTAATACAGAAACATTTCCTAGCTGACGGCAATGGTTGTCAGAGCAGGTTTTTTCATTGCATGCCCAAGTAGACTTTCTGGCTGCAGAAAACTGGAAGCGTTTAATACAGTTCTATTAAAAAGACAAATTCTTACTGGTCAGACTTTCAAAGTATTATGGTGGCAGAGCTGGGTCTGTTGATTCTTGTTAGTTTTAACATAGTAGTTTTGAAAACCCATGTGTTCACAGCTGCTTACTGGACAATGTAGCCAATTTGCATTTTATCCAAAAGTGCTACGGAAGAACATTTTAAAAATGTAGACTTTCAAAGTGAAATTGTAATTTTGCAGCCTTTAAGTATTTCACATTTTCTTACAGTTTGTTATTACATAGATGGATGTTTCCAGTCAATTCAATTGTCAATACTTACAAATATATAGATAAATACACAGAGAGTGGGAGAGACAGTATAAAACAATGTTTGTTTATATATTTAGAGTATAAAACAATGTCTGCACTTATGAAGCTGATATAATACATTATACAAAAAAAAACAAAACTGAAAAGAAAGATTGTAATCAAGTGTACATAGTTAATATCTCTCTGTATAATGCTCCTGCTAGTATTAACATAACCTTCTGTTAACTAACAGAAGGTTAAATTGCTTAGTCTATGGAGTGAAGTGTTATTGCAAGATGTTAGAAAATGACACAGTAAGAGACACAGAATTTCTTCCTGAGCATTATAAAGAAAAATAATTTTTTCTTTTTCAAAAATCTTTCTGGAAAGATTAATAGAAATATTATATATATTATAATATATAATATTATAATATAATATTATAATTATATATAATGTATTATAATATATAATAATGTCTATATATAATATTATAATATTAATATATATTATAATAGAAATAGAAAATGTTAAATAGAATACTAATTTTTCTGAAACCTATGACATGTTTAATTTAGCCTTAAGAGAGAGAAAATACATCTATCTACATGGCTTTTAATTGTCCATAGCAGAATTAGACATTTAGTGATTTTCAGCAGATTTGTGTCCTTTGGTGCCTAATGCAGTGTGATACCACAGTGTTAGATGCAGTGAGTCTATCAGGTGCTCCTTTGGGCACTGCATAGCAGAGGACAGAATAGAGCACTGTTTGCAGGAGTGAGGAAAGCAAGCTAAAACTGAAATATGACGGCATTTTGATGTTTAAGAAAACCATGTTGCTGTATTCTAATTTTCAGAGCAGCGGAAAGAGTTCTGTGTTGGAAAGTCTTGTGGGGAGGGATCTGCTCCCACGAGGTACTGGAGTTGTCACCCGGAGACCCCTTATTCTGCAGCTGGTGCACGTTTCCCCAGAGGATGGTCGGAAAACAGCTGGAGATGAAAATGGTAAGTGTGATGCAAGAGTGTGTTTTGCCTAGTAGGGAATTGACTTACAATCTTGTTTGTTCATTTGACTGAAAAATCGGTTTTTGGAATCTTGGAACTTGAGTGTGCTTTTTAAAATTGACTTGGAAGAAAACACAGCTGTTGTCACATCTGTTTTGTCCATTTAACAAATGTCATGAAGTCAAAATCTTTTGGATATTCAAAACATCTTTAATGTTTTAAGCTCTCCTGTTTGTTTTTAGGAAACACTTTTGAGAGAAGTGGGCCAAAGAAAGAATTTTGGTTATGATAGTGATTGTCTAGAGTGTAGAGAATACAGTTTTCTTGTGTGTGTGTTTCTTCCCCTCCTCTTCTGCTGTATAAATATGGTTTTTCCTTGAGAGGATGAGTGTATGACTTTTTAGAAGGAGATTAAGAAATAGGTAAGTTCTGAATAGAGTGTAAGAAAGAGAAATGGAAACAAACTTGTAGTAGATACAAACAGAATTTAATAGGCACATTCTGTAGCCCACAGCTGCTACCTGCCTGCACTGAGTGGTTCCATATGCATCAAGAACACACTTCAAGTATTCTGAAGCTGTCTAGTTTGAAGCTTGTGTCTTCCGTAGTGTTTCTGTATTATCCTTCAGCAGATGAAGAAAGTAATCTCAGTTGTCCCTTAGGAGTTTAAATGCTTATTCTACACTAATTAGTGCTCTTGATCTTACGAAAGAGCAGCAGGGGCATATCCACCTTCTGATCCGAAGATAAATCTTAGCTTTTTGATGTAGACAGTAGAAAGTACACAGGCTTTTGATGGTGTGATAAACTTCGGGCTATAATTAATTCTCATTGTGTTTAAACTTTTTGGAATCTAGTTCTAGCAATAGTAAGTCGGGGTATCAGAAGTTGTTTACAGTATTTGGTTTATGTAGTATTTATGGCCTTTGATTTCTGAAGAATAGTTACTAATATTGTACAGTTTAAAAGGTCTAAGCTCCAATTTTCATTATTGCTGCAAGCAGAGAACACAGTTTGGCTTCGTAACACTTACGAACTTTTAGTGTGCAATCCAGAGCGTGCTGGATTGTGAGAGATTGTAGGACAATTCAGGTTGGAAGTGATCTCAGGAGGTCTCGAGTCCAGCCTGATCCCAAAAAAGGGCCACCCATTAACTCAAGACCAGGTTGCTTGGGCCTTTATCCAGTTGGGTCTTGAAAACATCCAAACGTCCAAAGGAGAATTCAGAGAGTCCCTGGGCAGTCTTTTAGAAAAGGCAGAGTTGATCTCTGTCCATGTGGTTTTATATTATGTACATTGTGCAGTGTGTAGTTTCTAGTACTTTTCAGAATGCTTTGATTCTGAGATGTAGGATAAAATTTGATTTTGTTCTGCTCTGCAACTTTACAGGTATAAAAGATGGTTTTGTAATCAGAGTACTCTGAGTCAAGGCAGAGCCTTTCTGCTGTAGGTTGCATTTGATGTGGGGATTCAGATTTTAAATTTAAAACGGGATAATGATATTATTGCATAAGGATCTTGGGCTAAATTAATATTCATAAGGCCCATTTAGATCTGTGTAAGATGTACATGTTTTAATCTCTTCATGATGTTCCCGTGTGAGAGATGTGGGCTTGTTTGGTAAGAACAGGCAAACCTTTATGACTTAACAGTCGCATTTGAAATGTCTTTCTTCTTCCTCCAAAATTCAGGCAAATCATGGTCTAAATGGCTTTGTCACTGGTCTCGTTTAGCATATGTACAGATGGTGGTGTTATGTCTGTGAAGATTGGATCAGGTAGCTTGGAAAGAAAAAAGAGGGCAACCTCTTATCCTGGCTCTGCTGTCTGACATTGTAATAAGTCCCTATACTGTTACAGGTCATATATTTATTTGTTATGAGGTGGATGTTGAGGTAAGGTTGAATATGAGTTTGGGATTCCCTAGAGGGAAATCTATCCGGAGCCTTGAAGAGAACTATTTTCTCCAGATCAGGTGTTTCTTCTTTACAAATTGAATATTGGACAAGAGATAGCGGTCTTGGTGTGCTGCTTTCTGAACGTGCTGGTAATGAACTCTCTGTGTGCACAGATACTTTTATGCAACTGCCTCTTTGTTTTGTGACGTCTGGTCTGTAATTTGTCACCTTTATCCATTCTAATGCTTGCTGTAGGTGTGTACTGGTATTACATATGAATACATCCATTTAAATGTAGTGCTAGTCTGCAGTTCTTATAAGCTTAAATTTTACCTCTGAATGTTTGCATCCAGAAAGCTTCCCTGTTTCTAACACAAAACACTTCAGATTGTTGTGATATTTGTTTAAGCGTGGACAATTGCCTTATCTTTATGACTATGAAGGAAAAAATTGTGCCTCTTCAACAGCTTACTCTTGACATCTTCTGATGCATGTAAGCTGCAAAAGAATATTGGTTTATATCAATTTAGGGTTTTTGTTTGGTCGGTTTGGGTTTTTTGGTTTGGTTTTGGATTTCTTTTTTTTAATTTTTATTTGATTGTTAGGAGCACATTGGGAAAGAATTACAGCTACACATTTGAACTTTTGTTTTTCTAATGTGTAACATTAAAGATAATCTCTGCTGTTCCTCGAAGTCACTGATGAGCAATGTGATACCCTTGTATGGTGGTCACTGCACTAAATCAACATAGTCAGAGAATAGCAGAGATACAAATTTTCCATTAAATGTGAAGAAGTGCTGTGTTTTCCTAACAGCAATTTTCATAACATTTCAGACTGATACATACATCCTACAGACGTGTGTGGTTTGGTGTGAAGGCAATGTTCTCATATTGCTTTTGCTGTTTATTGTTAGCCTCTAGTGATTCAGCACATATGGGGTGGTTTGATGTGGCGATGCCACGCTGTGGTGTTCTTTTATCAAATTGCAAGAGAAGCAGCATTTACAGAACCGTGCCTGGTCTCCTAAATTATTGAATTGGTCTTGTAGCTAAGACTGTTGTGATAGCTTATCCATTTGTTAGGAAGTGGAAAAGAGGAGGGAACATATGAATGGTCAATTAGTAAATGTTTATAGGTTCTTTCTTTTGTCCAAGATAGGAAGCTGAACGTTGTTCAAATTCTGAACAGATAAGAATTGATATGGAACACAGGAATAATTAATGCAGATCTGTTGTTTGCTAAATCAACACTATGTTGTTAGCTTTTTGCTCTCTACTTCAGACGGGAATCCCTTACCCTTAGTTCCCAAACAGTGTGGGCTGCTTCATTTTATTTAGCTTTGTAGGAGAGAAAAAGAGCTTTCCTCTCAAAAGAGCTTGCCCTCTCGTTAGCCTCAAGGGGGGAAAAAATGGTACCAACATACAGAAGGGACTGGAAGATGTGCTGAAATTTTTTTCACAAGTTGGGTTTTTTGAATTATTATTATTTTTTATTATTATTCAGAGAAAGAGAGCTAGTAAAGGATAAGGTGATGGGGGGGAAGAGTTCAGATGGGTCCAAGAGCTGAGAAGGTATGGGAACCTAAAAACTAGAGAAACAGGTAAGATTCTTCATGTTTTGCTGACTTGTCATTTTTATTATCTGGGAAGTTCATGTTGCCATGCTGCAAGAAATCCTCTACGGTGGTAGCCTTTTATGACTCTGAACAGCTTCTTTGTGCTCCCACTGTGTATGAAGAACATTTCTGCTGCTTTAGGAAGGGAGAAAAGATACATGAGTAACTGAACTCAGCATTGTACTGTATTTGAGCTTCTTAAAGGAACATTGCAGTACAGGAGGTAACAAATAACAATTTAGTGGAAGGCAGTCCTGAGAAAAATACCATAATCATGTCTAGTTTTCCAGTATATTAATTAAAGTTTTCAGTTCTTGCTCCAAGATATGAAAAGCAAACAGACTGTTGCTTTATTCAGGAGATACTGTTTTGAAAAGCAGGATCTATTTGTTCTTAATAGCTGCTATTTAAATAATTTATTATAATCTGTAATACTTAATTTTACAATGACCAAAATGTCATTTCTACACACTTTTATCTAGCATTGAATCTTGAACGTAATCAGGTGATTAATTCACCTGAAGGTTTTGCCTGAAAAGCTTCCAGAAAGCAACATAACTGAGGGAAGACTGGTTTACCAGAGAAACTAGGATATCGGGCTGTTGAATGTAGGCTAATTAAAATATTTTCTCCTTGCGTTGAGCATCCTTTTATGTTGAGTTATGCATATCCTTTCTCCTTCCTAAAAATTCCTTTGCATTAAATTAGAGCTATTGCAAAATTTTTCTCAAATGTTAAAAGGGTATCAGTACAGACTTCCCCAGAAGAGTGGGGCAAGAGTTTTCCTACTGTATAAAATGAAATTTCAAAAACTTTTTACTTGGACCAGATGAGATTTTCTGTAAACCTCAGGAGACTGCGTTTTATTGCTTAACTTTTTTTTTTTCATTCTTTTTTTATGTGCACCAAGACTGGGGTTAAGACTCAGTCATTTATCATGGCTTCAGTCTTCTCTTGTGTCATAGATAGCAAGGAAAACTTGCATCTTGTTGAAGTTTAAAAACATTTCAGTCTTTTGATCCATAGATGTTAACAAGTTAAAATGCAATACTTCTGACTAGAATGCATCTTTTTTTTCACATGTATTTTGAAAAGTTCATAGATTATACTAAAACAAAACATTTCTCTATGCATAGAATTAAGCCTAGTACGTAGCTGCAAATTCCTATGCCACCACAAAACCAGTAATTGAAGACTAAAACAGTGTGTCCTAGCAGGACATCATCTCCCTGGGAGGGACATAAAAGGAGAGGGCTTGGTCCATGTTTTTTAAATGTAGTGGTGGCAGCATCTTGCTATATCTTTTCCTTTCTGGGTTTATGTGTGTCTTTGCTTTCTTAGATTCAATTTTTAAGAGGAGATGAGCAACACAATCTTGAAGATACATACTTCTTGTATGTACATTTTCCTTTACCCCAAACTGTAAAAAAACTAAACCTATTTAATAACCTAGAATTAATGAACCCTTTAATTTTGCACTTACTTTGGAGACTGGTATATAATTTTGCCTGTTTATCAACTGAGACAAACAAAAGCTGCCTCCTAACAGTGGTTTCTTCATAGCTCATGTACCTGCAGAACAGTAAGGATAAAAGCAGTTTGGTTTTTCAATTTTTTTCCTTAATGGATCCAGTTCATCTAGATCAGCATATTTCCATTGATGATAAACCTCTGTCTTAGCCCCTTCAGCAAGACAATAAAATAACTCCCCACATGTCCTGGGCTTTCCAAACTGATGAGTTGATTGCTGCTGTGCTGCTTGCATTTTGTGCCAAACAGGCATGTGCAAAAGATGTCTTCACCGGTTTGATTCTTGCACTTCCATGGTGCTGTACTGGCATCACATAAAAATATAGAGTGTAAACTCATCAACCCTTCAATAAAAAGTTTTTTTGATTTCCAGAAATAATTTGAGAAATTTAAAGGTTGAGAGGGGTAATAGCTAATGTTGTCTCTTCTTAAATCTGTCTCAGAGCTGTTATAACTGTTTTTTTAATTGAGTGTTGACAGATTCATGCAAACCTCAGATTTCTTTCCCATACAGTAATATTACTTCCAGTGACATTAAAAATATTTCCTTACTTTTCCTCATTCTTGAAATGAGTAAATGATGAGAAACATATTTCGATGAAGAAGTTCAGCTTTGCGGAACCTAATGTTTTTCTGTGCTCAGATAAAAATATTGTGAGCTGTTGGAATTAGATGAACAGCAATAATAAAGTCATCATCAAGTAAACGTTGTTGTATAGAATATCTGATTAATATGCATAATTTATCAGTGTTTAGTTAAGATCTCACTTCTGTGCATATTGTTAATGTTACCCATTCTCATCAATAGTAGAGTAGCATGCACATCTGTCTGCATGCATTTGTGATCTCTGTAGTACGATCTGGTACAGAAAGTTATTAAAATGCTATACTAAATATGATTAAAAATTGTAAACATCATTCAATGCTGTTTCTCTTTAACTGCAGACCCTGCTACATGGAAAAATCCAAGACACCTTTCTAAAGGTTGCCTTTATCCACTTGCTTTTTCTCCCTACGCATAAAGTGCATGCTTATATACACTAACCACATACATTTCATGCCACTTTATTGTTGATGACACTTTTACTTTTACACTTTGGCTACTGTGTTGATTGATTATTTTGCTGAGTCTTGTGATCTGGTTGATTTTTAGTTTTCCAACCTTGTTGCATTAGAATGAGATGATTTTCTGCTTTTCTTCTGTACCGTTGCTGCTTCATAGAATTTCCTGCACTTTTAATTCCCAAATCCTTTTAAAAAAATTTCTGTTGATCAGTATCTTGAAATTCAACTTGAGCAGAAAAAATGTTTTGAAAGATGACTTGAATTGTAGGTAAGCAAGTTTATGTTTGCCAAATGGCCATATTTCTTCTAGTGTATTTGTCTAGAGCAGATTGCTTTATCGGGGGAGCAGAGGGGAAATAACCACAAATTAAAAATTTGAAATGAAATATATCACTAATGCTTGGAAACCTAGTTGTGGAAGCGTGAGCATGTCACAGTGTGACTCCAACTGCTGCCTGCATTTGAAAGCAGGAATTGAAAAAACCTCCTTTGCTGTTTCTGGGGCTGCTCTTGAATAGCTCCCAAGTAATTCTGGACATCAGTGGTGACTGACAAAAGAGTTAAGGTGTTTGATCCTTGACAGATTTGGGAAGAGACATGTTCTTCTAAGACTTCATTGTTCTGCAGAATTTTTACATATTTTCTGTTTGTTTTGATTTGGGTTCTACAGGTTTTTCTAACTTTTTCTTTCAGCTGTAAGTTGATCTGACTTGCATGGTAAACAAAAAGATGCTTAAAGCTGGTATTTTTTCAGATTTTTTAAGCTATTGCTAATAATTCTTTTGTTTTCTGTTGCTAGCTGATATTTAATGGACTAGACCATTTCTGAAAAATGGTGGGATAGTTGATTTGCTTAGTTATAATTAAGAAGGTGGACTTTGCGTAAGGGAGGCAAATTAAAAAGAGTAATGAGATGCAATTAAATAAGAAGAATCATAAACAGTCATAAATTCATTTGTACTGAGCTATTTAACATCTAACAGTACAAAGACTAATTTTTCTCTTGCTGCTTGGAAAAAGGTCATTAAATATCTGCTTCCTCTTCCTCATGTATCAATTCTTTGTTTTCAGAAATAGATGCTGAAGAGTGGGGTAAATTTCTTCACACCAAAAATAAGGTATGTTTGCTTTGATGACAGAGTAGTGGTGTCGTAAATATGTTATCATATACATAACTAATTCTATATCTCTTCTCTTGACTTTCCCAAAAAGTAAAAAACTTCTGGAAACATTCTTTTAAATGCAAGACAGAAAGTATATCAATGGTTGTCTGTTGTGTGGGTCATTGATTCTGCTGAGTATCTTGATCCTTCTTGTGTTACTTCGTTGATTTTACTTTTTTTGTGCATTGGCAAAATTAGAATAGTAGTTACAAAGACAAGGAAGTATTTAATCACAAGTCATTTCAGTCCACCGAAGAACTGGCTACTTCAGAGATTTATTAGAAAGCTATGAAGAGGATGGAAGAGCCTAACGCTCATCTCGGGGGAGAAGCAGAAGCTGAGATGACCTAGGACTTCAATATAAGAGAGTCAAAGCTTAATTCTTTCTTGAAAACAGTCATCTTTTTGTTGTCAGATGAATAATTTAAGCGTTTATTACTTTAAACTTATTTCCTCACCTTCTAGGCAGTGGTAGAAATGGAAGGAAATCTAGAGAGTAATGCAGAGGGAACCTGTGCAAGGGTAGCTTTGTGCCAAGTTATTTTGGATTGGTGGAAGGAGTATAGATTTGACAAGAGTGGAAAATTTTTGAAATGAAACTCTGTCCTTGCTCTTTGTCCTCTTTGAGATGAGAAGGGTTTCAGACCACACGTTGTTTATTAACTTCAAAGGATTGCAACTATATTAGAAATGGAATTGTTTGAAATTCTGTTTAGGTGAACACTATTTTATACCTTGTCTGACATTGATGGGGTAGTAAGTGCTGATAACAGCCATCTCACAGTATTAATCAACAGATTACATACCGAGACTCCAGTTTCTGTAATTTCAGTGCTGATGATTGCTGTTAGCGTTCTCTTAAGGGCTAGTAGTCACTCTTATTTTTTCTCACCTTCTGTATACTTAGTTACAGAGTTTTTCACTATCTCTTGGAGAAAAGAGCATTATTTTGCAATTAGGTAAGTGTATATTGCCTTTGATTTTTAAATAGTCTTTTTCTTCCTTCAGATCTATACAGATTTTGATGAAATTCGCCAGGAAATAGAAAATGAAACAGAGAGGATTTCTGGAAATAATAAGGTAAATGCTGCACTGTCTGTCTTTTTCTTGCCATGGATTCTTTTGCTCTTAAACATTTCTTGAACAGTTTTGGCAGCTAGAAGTGAAAAGCATTGAACTATTCTAATGAGGAACACAGTAATGCTGCTTGCTGTCTTGAGTTTTTTTTTTACTGGGTTCATGAGATAACAGCTAAAAGAAAATGCAGAGAATTGCTGTTGTTTACTTCACAGCTTCCGTAATAATAGTGGAAAAAATAAACTTTGAATTAAACTCGTTTCCATTTTTTCCCCATATGTGATTTTATGTGTAATTAAAGAATCAAGTATAATTACTGAAATATAAAAACTGCTGTGCATTATATTGAGGGGGAAAACAGGGCTGCTTCCAAAGACAAAGGAATTGGTTGACAGATGTGGCTGGCTTTTTTTTCCTCAACAAGTAGTTGTAAGGTGTATGGTGGAAGAAAGTTTTTCTAGTATGAAACTACAGTTGTTGGCTTTCTACAGGGTGCATTTAAATAATTCAGTACAGTGATTAATTTTTATTATTAACTTATTTCTAGGGGATCAGTCCTGAACCTATTCATCTTAAGATTTTTTCAGCTAATGTTGTAAATCTGACCCTTGTGGATTTACCTGGAATGACAAAGGTAAGATGTTAAATGCTTCTCTTCTGACTCACGGTGTCACTTTGTGTGTTTTGAAACAAGGAGTGTATGTTCAGTTCTTGGCATTATTCTATCTTGTTAGATAGAATAATCTAATAGGCTTTCCTCAGGTTAAATAGCTGGTTATATAAATTTGAGATGTCACCATCTTCTGCTGTAAGATTTGGGTTTCTGGTGCTTGTCACTGTTGTAAGAGGTAGGTCTACTTAAATTCTTCCTCTTCCTATGTACAGCCAAGGGATTGGAAGTGCTACGTGGGGTGCATGTTCTTTTTAATAGAAGAGGTAGCACTTGAAGTTTTAAAGTTACACCTGCAGATAGATGGGTAGTTGATGAATTTTAAAATGTCTTCCTCATTGTTTCATCAGAAGTTGCTATGTGTATGTTGCGTAAGAAGTGGTATAAAGTGAGGATACACTAGAAGAATTGTTCAGGTCCTGTTTGTTCAGGTTTTATACTGAATAATTTTTTGTGGCATGAAGATGACAAGATCACCTCTTTCCCTGCCTGTGCAGACATATATACTCTACTCTGTGCAGGTAGTTCTTCAATTCGAAGTCTTCTTGCATACAGTATCAAATAATTTGAATCGATTCTTACTTTTCTAAAACTGTTTTTGACTCCTGTGCCTTTCAAGATCTTCCCATTCTTTCATGTTTGCTTGGAAAGGGGGAAGGAAAGGTTTGGAAAACTTTTTTATACCATGGTATTAGGGTATGAACTTTCAATGAGTGGTCTCACATAGGTGTGAATATACCATTTTGTACAGTTCTCTGTTGTTTTTCCTCTAGGTGCCTGTTGGTGATCAGCCTAAGGACATTGAACTTCAAATAAGAGAGCTAATCCTTCAATTCATCAGCAATCCAAATTCAATTATTCTGGCAGTAACAGCTGCTAACACAGACATGGCCACTTCAGAAGCACTTAAAATTGCACGGGAGGTGGATCCAGATGGTAAGCAGCAAGGAAAACTGGATCCTGTAATTCAACTTCTTTTTTTAAATTAAATCCTAAAATAAAACTTAAGCTGTTTGGGCAAAAAGTAGTAAGAAAGTAAGTAGTAAGAAAACCAAATGTCACTGTCTTTCCTAGAAAATTAGATGATTATATTTGTTTAAAGACTCGTGCTGCACTCTCTGCAACTCAGAGAATGCTGTGATGAATTAATATCCAATAGATTCCTGGCTTACGAACAGGCCAGATAACTATTTTAGTAGCCATAGGAGCTACTTCTGTTTCCAGAGCAGCAAAATGGCATTACAGAATATTGGGGGTTTTGAGATTTTTAGTAGTTTACAATGGTCTTTTAGGATTACTTCGTGTTTTATTGTCCATCATTGTTTCTTTTAGTAGAGGAAATACGCCATCCTGCAACTGTTAATTGACTGTCTAGCTAGTTTAGTGACTTTTAGTGAGAATAAAATTAATATGTAATGTCAGTATCCATTTTGCTCCCCTGCATTTATGTGACAGAACTGGCTGATTTGATTTAATCTAAAAAGAGGATTTTTGTTTTATATTTACCTAATGACTTTGAAACAGATCTCAAAGTACTGGGTACCTGATTCCTGTGTGTATGAAGCGCTCTCAGTACCATTGACCAAAAAATGGCATTGTGTGATTTGAAAGAATATAGAAAAGTATACTTTAAACAAACATATGCTGAAATTAGACTAAAAATTGGTGTTGGTATGCTTTGGCCTCAATTTTTTTCTTGCCACAGTGTGTAATGTTTCTTGCTTGTTTTCAAGCTCCCAAGTTTGCCTAAGCCTTTATGGGTTCCACAGCCATGTAACCTTGAGGGAGAGCCTCTTCTCATGGCACTCAGTCAGTCAGATAGTCCTGGTTTGAGGCAGCAGACCCTTTCCTTTTAATTCACCCGTGTACAAACGATCAGCTGTGATTTTTGGATCAACTCCCAAAATTCTAAATCTTAAAGCTCAAGTGGCAGCTCATGTTGCAGGTCCTGTAGGGATAATGGTATGTAATGAGAACTTGACATGCTAAAGTATGTAGACTCTGACTTGCTTTAATCTGAAAGTTTCAGGAGTCAAAACCCACTGATTTTGTGGAGTTACTGGTTTATTTTTAGACTTGAAAAATGTGTTATATTTTAAAGAAAAAGTTCTTGATGCCTTTATTTCAGACACAAATGCCTGGAAGATATTAAGGTCCCAGACAAATCCTGGGCATGTTAGCCTACTTCTTTAGATATGTAATATTTAATGAATTTAGGTTGCTATTTCCTCAGTAGTGTCCAATATGAAGTTTAGTTTTAATTCAGTCACAAATTCAATAAAAATCTGTTTCATTAGCAAAATTAAGTCCCCTAATGCTACTTTAGTGGGTGAATTTCAAGCACTTCAGTTCCTTGGGGCTTTCAGCTATGTGTTCAGTGCACTATGCTGGAAGTGAACCTGTTGCCTCCTTTAGCAGCTTCTTCAGTGGGTAGTGGTATTTAAAATATAGTTCCAAACATATTGCCATTACGCCTGGTCCTCCATCTATGCTAGAAATACATGCAGTTCACTCACACTTGGAAGTCCTCTGCCTGCCTTACTGAGTCTTCTCCAAAAGGGCTTAGTAATGCCTCTAGCTTCGTGTAGTATGTGAAAATATTTGTTGTAATCTGTAATTACTATAATTTCAAACTGTATGGTGCCTAAACCTTTTTCTTCAACCAGATCTGTGTGGGGAGCAGTACATGCCAAATACTTTCTTAGGCTTCTGTTAATATGGGGCTCCAGATAGACTAACACCCTGTGTTCTTGTGTTAGTCTTTGCTGGTTTTCAGTAGTAACATATGTAAAGCTGTGTGAGAATCTTCTTGGAAGATGAGTTTTGGCTACCCTGATCACGACAAAACATCCCTATGAGTGAGTTTTCCTTTTGATAGGTCGAAGGACCCTTGCTGTTATCACGAAGCTGGATCTCATGGATGCTGGCACTGATGCTATGGATGTGCTCATGGGAAGAGTGATTCCAGTTAAACTTGGCATCATTGGAGTAGTGAACAGGTCTGTCTGGGCACATTGATGCTATTCTTAAAACCGTGTTAATATGAAGCAATGCTTTTGGCTTTTTAACCATGAATATGATTTGAAGAGTGAGGTGACTTGATGTTACAATGAACTTCTGAATAAACAGGTTTGTTGCTCACTTTCCAAAAGCCAGTCTGTTCTTCCACTCAACCAACTGCTAACTTAGAAAGGAGTAGGGACGTTTCTTCTAAAAGAACTGTAGTGTCACTTCTTTCTGCTGTTGTTTTTTTTTAGCCTGAGGGATGCTGCTGGTCAGCTGTTCACTTTAGCACTGATCCAGTACAAATCTTGTATGTTAGTCCTAATCTAATGCTAACTACATCTGGCTATAGTTACTGTTCACTTTTTTTTTTTTGCATACTAGCTAGGTCAAATCTCATGCAGTTTTGATAAAATCATTGCTTAGTCTATGTACAGCTGCTGCCCATACTAATTTGTTGACTGTGCTGCATGGAACAACATATAAAAGTCTTTATTGTGTAAAGAAGATGAGTTACGTGTGTAAAGCAAATACCAGCTGTTCAGATGTCCTGTCCAGAAAAACAGACATGTAAATTATTTTTACTTTTCATCTATTAACTAGTGTGTAACTCTGCCTTTTAACTTCAGGAGTCAGTTGGATATTAACAATAAGAAGAGTGTAGCTGATTCCATTCGTGATGAGTATGGTTTTCTTCAAAAGAAGTATCCTTCCCTAGCCAATCGAAATGGAACCAAGTATCTCGCTAGAACACTGAACAGGTATTACATACTATGTAAAATAAAATAAATGTGTACTCTTAAAGATAATTTAAGGTATAAATTGGTGTGTTAGAAGTATGTGTAAACAGTTATTTTTACCTTTTCTTTCTCTTTTTGTGCTGTACCTTGATATGTTAAGGAAGACTCTGGTTCCTAATTCAGTTTCTGAATTTACTGTAATTTTCCTGAGTAAACGTTTTCCTCTAGTGATTATTTTCTGTCTCTTCTCTGTTTTGATGGAGATGATTAAGCTGAAACTTTTTCTTCCTTCTAATGAGGGACTGTTTTCTATTTTTAGACTACTGATGCATCATATCAGGGATTGCTTGCCAGAACTGAAAACCAGGATCAATGTTTTAGCTGCTCAGTACCAGTCTCTACTAAATAGCTACGGGGAACCTGTTGAGGACAAAAGTGCCACTTTATTGCAGCTTATTACCAAATTTGCCACAGAATATTGTAACACTATTGAAGGAACAGCAAAATACATAGAGACTTCAGAGCTGTGAGTATCAAATGGTTTTTTAAAACATTGCCTGAGCAGTTAGATGGACCCAGTGGCTCTTCCTGGCTTTAATTGGCAATAGTACAGTCTAACATACTCAAAAAATGTTTGAATCCAAGTTACTGTAAAAAATATTTGCAGTGAAAGCTTTTTTCTTGTTTGTTACTTAAGTTGTTATTTTATTCTTTCAGATGTGGTGGAGCCAGAATCTGTTACATTTTTCATGAGACCTTTGGAAGAACTTTAGAATCTGTTGACCCATTGGGTGGCCTTAACACAATTGATATTCTGACTGCCATTAGAAATGCTACTGTGAGTGTTCTGTATTTCTAACTGTTGTTAACTATATATCAGATTCAAAAATAAGGTTTCAACAACTTTATGCCCCTTCAGTCCTGTGAACTAATTATCTCAGCTGAATGAGTTAATATGAAGAGGCTGAATCCTACTTTTTGGTATTTTAAGTGGAAAAAATATAATATCCAAATTTGCAGCCGTTATCCTATATGGATGAGTTTAAGGTGAAAGCTTGCATCTCATGACTGGTATTTGGAGGCCGAAATAAAGCTCAGGCCCAGTATGCTGAAGCTATTGTATATTACAGAAATAGTGATGGAAGGTTGCCTCTGCATTTATCTTGCATTAAGCACTTCTGTGAGTTATGAAGACTCAGTCTGAGATGTATGGGCTAGGACACATTCAGATATTTTAATTCTGTATGAGGGACACAACTTTTCAAGGGTTCAGTGTTTACGTGACAGATTTGGTTTCTTGTGAATATGGGAATTGGGGTTGCTAAGAATTAACAGAGTAAGTTCACTTCTAAGTTTTGCAGTGTATAGAATGTTCACTCCTTAGACCTTGACTTTTTGTACTATGTTCTTTTGGATGTGGACAGACGGTTTCTGCGTGGTCAATAATTACTCAGACTTGGAGTGAATTAGGTACTCTGCAGCATTAACCTGTGAGCATGCTCTTATCATTCTGTAAATGTAAAACAGCACTTAGTAACAGAAGAGGTGTCTTGGTTTTATGTGACACATGACATCTTTATGTTTCTAAAACTCATTTAATTTAAAAAAAAAAAAAAGGAAATTTCAGGTAAAAAAAATGTTTTCTGTATAGCTAAGCAGTGGTTTGTATGGTCATAAATGGAACTATCCCAAACACTGTAAATCAGCAACACTGTGTTATGATTATAGTTAACAGAAAACCCATCTGCGTTGGAGTAAGAATTATATGCCCAGGACTGTCAAAAAAATAATGGTAACTTTCCTCTCTGAGTTTAGGAAGGAAATCTCTTTGCCTTTATAGTAGATTGCATTTAAACTTGGATCCACAAATGTGAAAAGCATTGTTCATAGTTATAAGCCTAGAGTGACATTAGTAGGTAGAAATCTTCAAGATTCTATAAGGATGCAGGCTAGTCATTATTTAACACAGAGTTTGTCTTTAAGGGAATAACTTTATAGCTTTTATATTGAAACATTCTTGTAAGATATTTTACTCTTAAGACCTGTTCTCAGAGTTCTTTTGGGTGCGGGCACTGTGACCCAATTTATTCTGGGCTTCATCAGATGCTACTTCTTAGAAATGCGTATAGTTTTAATACATAATTTAACAACTTTTTCCCTCCTTTTGAACTAGGGTCCTCGTCCTGCCTTGTTTGTTCCTGAAGTTTCATTTGAATTGCTGGTAAAAAGGCAAATCAAACGTTTAGAAGAACCCAGCTTGCGCTGTGTGGAACTGGTTCATGAAGAAATGCAGAGGATTATCCAGCACTGTAGTAATTACAGTACACAGGTAAAAAGGCATGCTTTAGAATTATGTTTGTAATTATTGAGCTTTTTTTCTACCTTCCCCCATTTCCCTAAAAAAGTCTGGGAGTCTCATCAGTAAATTTTTGTTTTGTTTTTAGGAACTGTTGAGGTTTCCTAAACTGCATGATGCCATAGTTGAAGTAGTAACCTGTCTTCTGCGTAGAAGACTTCCTGTCACAAATGAAATGGTAATTTTCCATCTACTATAATTTCGCTGGGAAAAGTGTGTTTTTTCTGGAGTCTTTCTTGATGCTTTCTGTTTGCTCTGTAAGGTCAGGAACGTAAATTATGAAAGGAATCTTAACTTCCATTTGTTAAATAGCTAGGTATTTAATATCTACATGGTTTGAAACAACTTCTGTATTAGAAGACAAATACATAAAACCCAAAGGAGTGGGGGTAGCCCTCTTCAGCTTATTGTCCCCTGTGTTTCAGTTTCCCAAGAAAAATTTCCTAAGACTTGGATTTAACATTTCTAGTCTTCCTGATATAGGTCTGTTTCCCTCCCTTATATCAGAAACTGTGCATTTACTGTGGAGTTAGGGATGCAATCATGAAAATTCAATTATAGTCCTTATTCTGTGTGTTTCAGAGATAAAATAGACAGAAAATACTGATTTTGCTTGTAATGCCCTTTAGCTACTGAGAACTGAAAATTCAACTGCTAGCTTTGAGTAAATATCTTTTAATAGAAAGGTCTACTTTGGGCTGCTTATTGGGGAGGAAAAGGTGTCATTTCAGTTACTGACTCTGCATATGTTTGATGTGAAAAGCAAAAATTGTTCTTTGTGCTCATTATCTCCCATACTGAGCCGTCTCTCACTGGTTCAGATGTTCTATGTGGCTTGTGGCTGAAGGTTGACCATATACCTCACTTCATTACTGTATGTCTTTCAATCACTAATTACTGAGTTTTGTTTATTTATTGCTAAAGAGGGGTTAACTTGACGAAGGTAGCAAATTAAACTCATGTAACATCTAAAACACCTGAAGTGTTGCTATGAATGAATGAATTCTCCTCTTGCCTTCTGGATCAGAACTTTAATGTCTTGGGGGGCAGTAAGAAAGGTCTTCTGCTATGGACTATGCTTTCCAGCATTGTAGGTCATTGCATTGGATTTACTCCCTCAATTTTTCAACTGTGAATGGCATTGCATTGCAGGTTCATAATCTAGTGGCCATCGAGTTAGCTTATATCAATACCAAACACCCAGACTTTGCTGATGCCTGTGGTTTAATGAATAACAACATAGAGGTAAGAAAATACATTCTCTTTTGAAGTCCTTTGAAAGCCTTAATAATTGGTAAATGAACAGATGCTTCAGTTTCTTTCACTGAAGCACAGCTCTACGTTTTGAAGTATAAAAATGTGATACGTTACAAATATGGTGTATACTCTTATCTGGAGATGGTTGATTTTTTTAGGTTTATATTGCAGAACAATGCAGAACAATGGTTGATATTTCACTGAAAATAATTCTGCCTGTATTTCTGTCTGGAAAATAAGATGGGCACCTAATAGAGTATTGGCTATTAAATGAAATTTTTGGAAGAAAAACTTTAAGTAGATAGTTGTGAAATACTCTCTAATGTTGAAGTAATTGCATTTTGTCTCTGACAGAATGTACTGGTAGGTATAATGTTACTCTTATTCATGAAAGGGTAATACACGTTTCCTCTATTCAGGCTCTTAATTTCTGCTTCCTTTCAGCATTGTTCTTGAATCTCTATATTACCACACTTCAGTCTCCTTAAGACAGTTTTCTCCATCCATCTGCCATAAATCTTTTACAATTTCAGTAGCCTTTCTATTCTTCAAGCCCAGCTTTGAATGGTAATACTTGTTGCTGTCATCATCCTATAGAAGTAGTTGTTCTACAACTGATGTACTCGAATTTGGCTTGCAATCTGATTTTGTTGCAGTGCTTCATCCATCTGGCTAAGAGCTCACTAATATTCTTGTGCTACCTTGCTTATTGAACACATTCTGTCATAGAAGCATTCTTTTTTTAAATGCTTATGTTATCATTTCTGCTCTTTAGTTCTAACTTCTTACTTTCTTTTATACTGAAAATTTTTATTGACTGGCTGTGCAGTTGAATTTGCATTGGTGTAGACTGCTCTTGAATCTAGTTCAGAAACAAAGTCTGTGCAAACTGCCCTGAGTACAAAAATTAGGACTTTGTGAAGTTGAATATAGGAGATGATTATGTTATTGTGTGTTACTCAAACTAGTTTTTTCCTAACATTTTCCTGAACAGGACATTGAAATTTTTGAAGAAGCAAAGCACGTAAAACATCTTATCCTTATTCAGTGGACAATCAATTTTTAATTTCAAGAAAAATCAGATTTGTTTGTCCTGATTGCTTCAAACTCTGTTTTGCTATAAAGTGAATGCTGCCGCCGCCTCCTTCCTTTGGGCTAATCATAGTTAACCCCTCTGGCCTTTTAGATTACTTTGAAGATTTAAAGCTTAATGAGGGCTGTGGAGTATATATGCTGAGCCAAACTGTGCAGCTTTGATCTATTTTTTTTAAAGGCTCAAGTTTTGATTACAGAATGTGTTACAAAAGTTTTTAGATTGAAAATTTACTTTTGACCAGGTAATCAGGGTGTTTTTATCCAAATAATTGAGGTTTTCCTAAGATCATAGTATGACTACATGACACTGGATGAGATAAAATTACTAGTGTTTGTCTCTAAAATGTAAGTCATCTGTAACGTATGAATCTTGCATAGTGTTAATGGAGAGTAACACGTAATAGAGGTCTTACTGGATTGTTTTTAAAGGAACAAAGGCGTAACAGATTAGCCCGGGAACTGCCTTCTGCTGTGCCACGAGACAAGGTAAAGTAAATGATAACTTTTTCTTTATTTATTCATTTAAAGTTTAATGTGTTCTCTTTTGATCCATTCTAAGCTTGGAAACTTTGATATGCTGCCCTACTAACAGTCTTGGGAGCTTCCAGGTATTGACTTTTGCTTTCAATTTCATAAGATAAAGTGGAATGTTATTTTCTTCCAAAGATGCAATTTTTGGAAGGTGTAACTTGGGATTTCTGAGGACTTGCCTCTAAATTTGTATTAATATTACACATATTACCTGAGTGTCATCTGAGGTAAGGCTTAAAATGCAGGCAGATGTTAAGAGATGGACTCAGAACTTGCCTGCTTGAATTTATGGCTGAGACATACTGAATCCAAAAGATAAACAAGTGATTTAAAATATTCAGTGTGGCAACATAGTGACTTGGTTGTATGAGTTTTATTAAATCACTCTTAAAACTGCAGTTTATTGCAGTCTTGCTTATTTTAGAGAGAAGATGGTGGAGGTGACGTTTTCAGTTGATTATCATAATCCAGTCATGTATTCTGTCTCTGGAGCTTAATTAGTTGTGCCAGGTTTGGGGATTAGTTCAATGACAAGTAAGTACATGGATGAAAGAATCAAGTGTCATGGAAAACACTGCCTGGCTGTAGAAATGAATGGTCTGACAATCAGCTGGAATTTTAGACATTATGTGAAGTATTAGATACCAAATATACAGAATACAGCTTAAACTCATCACAGGTTGTAACATGAGTTACTACAGCTGATAAAATTCAGTTCATTAAGTTAGCTTAAAAAGTGAGACAAAATCCCAGAGTGGATCTAATATTACTGCCTTTAATCAGTAGAAGCCAGCTGAACTGGGAATTTAAGGTAGCTAGATGGTGATAGCTTTCACTGCTGTTTGATCCTTCTTTTTATTGATCATATGTATATCACCAGTACAGGAGCTGAAATGAAATTGAAGGCGGGATAAGCTAAAAATCTCTTAATTGTCTTGGAGATGCTGCTTTTTTTTTTTCTTTTTTCTGCTTACATTATTGTGGTGCTTGCAAATTCAAAATGTTTTCTTTTCTGGATTTTTTTAAAAGATGCTAGTAGGTAAAAGTGTATGAAACTTGCTAGGTAGATTTGGTGGTCTTCAGTTGAAATTTTTTTTTTTTTTTTCCCCCTCCCTGCATTTTTTACCTTCCTTAGTCAACTAAAGCTCCAGGTGCATTGCCACCTGCTTCCCAGGAGACTGTTACTGCTGCTTCTGCTGAGGCTGATGGCAAGGTCTGTCTTGATTTCTCCTATAAGCACTGCATGCACATTTCTGTTGTGGTGCCCCGCAGACGGTACGGAAAGCAGTTTGTATTTAGTGCTCTGTCACTGACACAGTACACACTACAGAGTACAGACCACTTGGCATTGCTGATTTTAGTACGTGCAGTGGCAGGTAAAGATGGGCCATCAGGTGGCAAAGTCACTGCTTTCTGTTTGAACTCTTGGTTGCAATACATTGTGGTGCAAGTATGCGGCATAATTTTCCTCAAACTGTAGTCAGTAGATCGTCTGGTGCAACAGTATTGTAATGAAAAGTGTTCAGCATGGTTGTTAAACTGCATGTTTTTAATGTGTTGACAGTTAAAGAAGGAGGACAGAAGATAAGCTAAAAATGTGAGTTTCCTGCTTCCTGCAGGGAATCTTTATAGGCTTTGTTCAAACTGAACCTCCTTTCATTGTTTCACATAATTGTTTGATTCCTGGTTTACTTGTATTTGTGTAATGTGTTCTGCAGTGTTTGTTTTTTTAGACTTCAGGTGTGCTGTCTCATGTGTTAAAGTAACAGGAGATTACTGTAAAGGCTTTTGCTAATTGCTTTCACTTTGAATCAGAAAAGATGAGTAGTCACAAGTTGTGTGTAAGGAGTACCAAGAGGACACAGGCTTTCTGCTTCACTGCATATGCACATTCAGCTTCTAGTGCAAAGCTGCCATTTCTGTCCTGAACAAAGTAGTCCAAGTGAAAATCTAGTCAGCAGTAGAATTTTAACTATTATTTTCATCACAGTTTTAGAGGTTCTGATACCCTGCAGACACCTACGATGAAATGTAGAGCTACTGTTGTGACTTCAGAAGTTGTAGGAAGCTGCCAGATTTGGTTTGGGTTTCCCACAAAACCTGTCTGTTATTAGGTGGTAGATACTCAACACTCTTTCTTGTGAAAGAATGTAGCTTTATCTCTCAAACTACTTTGGAGATAGAGCAGGCTCCACAGTAATACTAAATGGGAGTGGCATAGGCATTTTTGCAATTTTTAATGGCTGTCTTGCAATCAGAAGTAATGTAACGGAGCTTTCCTCATCAATGGCTCTCTCTTATTAGTAGAGGTTGATTTGAATCCTTATAGAATATTTTTTTACAGTGCCTCCGAACAGTTGTGCAATTTTTAATAAAATTTCTTGTGCACAGTTTAGCTGGGTTTCCTCCTGGTATGCAGCTGTTGGTATTTTATCTGCCATGCTTTGTTTCTCACTTTTTTTTTTTAGACTCAAGATCAGCCTGTGGTGGTTTAATTGTAAACACAATAGATGAATTTAGCTTATTTCTTCCTATATCTGAAACAAGACATAAGTAGTAGCAGTTCAGAGCCTTGAACGACCTTGAATGTTTTCAAACAGCAATAGATTTTAAAGCACAGTAGTAAATAGAGTGGATACTAGGTTTATGGAGAGGTACAAAATAAAAATTACCACTGTTCCACATCAAAACAAACTGTCTTTTTTTTAAATACTAATTTAGAATGTGGTGGATTCCATCTACAAATATTTCTTTGGTCCAGTGATTCCTAATGTTTAAGAGTTGGGTGTTATGTCCTTTTCTCAGGAGATCAGCGAGTCATTCTTTGTCTGGAACTTCACAGAAACCCTGATCTTCACTTCCAGAGGATAGAGATTTTTGTTTTGTTTTAATATGGTACAAAAAAAGCCTTCTGTAAATTGAGGTCTGGCAGCTACGTCAGTAGCTTTGGTACTCGGAAACACAAATGTGCAAATTTTTTAAGCTATTATTGTAAGAAACTTAAGTTTATAGTTAAATAAAATACCAAAGGATTTAAGTCCAAGTCTTTCAAGAGCTGTGATGATCTTCAAATCATACTTGCGTAATGATCCTGATGGTATAGGTTGTATTCTTCTAAGAATGTATGGTGAAAGTGGCAAAAGCCAAATGATTTAGGAAGACCATTACGTATTTCAGAAGTGATTTGTAGACCCTTAAAAAGCTGGGGAGCTTCTCTCTATGAGGCGTTTTCATACCATTATTAGGAAGAATGAGTTTTAAAAGCTTTCATTCTACTGGTACTGTGTGTCAGCTGTAAGCAGCAAAGGGAGAGCAAAGATGGGGAATGTGAAGAATAGAATGAAGGGAATATACATATGAAAATCTCATTTTTAGTGAGTCTTACCTATAGCTGAGTAATAGATTTGATCAGACACTGCAGTGCCCAGGTTCTAATTCTCCAATGTTTCTACATTGTGCTGTTTGTGCAGGCCCCTGCAGGAGCTGGAGATACGTCTCAGGAGCCTGGAACAGGCAACTGGAGAGGAATGCTGAAAGCCTCAAAAGTGGAAGAGGTATCAGCAGAGGAAAAATCCAAGCCAGCTGCAGCCCTGCCTGCTAGTCCTCAAAAAGGGCATGCTGTCAACCTTTTAGATGTGGTGAGTCATGAAAAACTAATACCTCCTCTTTGTAGTTCAGCCTCAGGAAAGAAAACATCTGAATTCCGGATCTTGTAACTTTTGCTATTAATGTATGATACCTTGCTACATATTTACCACAATGGGGACAATGTCACAATATTTACCTCCTTCCACTTTCAGCCTTTGATTTGGGATAACTGACTTCCTTTCACAAATTCCTGTATAAGTGAACTCAATTGTCTACATTGCTCTTTGTACAGAAGAAAATCTCGGGTGATGTCTAAAGTCAAATGCCTGCTCTTTTTTGCTGAAGATAGCATTTTTATATTAGAGGAAAAGAATCATTAAAGCCAAAACCCACTTAAGTTAAAAATAGATGGAGATCCTGTAAGTGTTTGGAGACCTTAGTTCCTTTAGTGAGCTTTTCAAAAAAAAGTTAGTAGTGGTGCCCTCTGACCTTTGTTTCATAGATCTGGATTTTGACATGTCTCTAATTTTACCTCTGAAGAATTAGAGATTTGTTGCAAGGCATGTTACATCTATCAAACTATCAGACTAAAAGAACAATAGTTTATTTTGGACTCCACAGTTTGAGTAAATTGAGGTTTTTATTTTTTCACGTAGCCTGTACCTGTTGCGCGCAAACTTTCTGCCCGTGAGCAACGAGATTGCGAAGTGATTGAACGACTTATTAAATCTTACTTCCTTATTGTCAGGAAGAACATTCAGGACAGGTAAGACAAAATTTCTTAGAAATGTTTAAGCCAGACAAATGTTGTGATATCTCATGAGTCATGTATATAATCTTGTTATTTTATCACGTTCTTATGTTCATAAACAGAGAGAAAATATGATTATTTTCTTTTAGAAAAGGGCAGCAGAAGTAAAACTTGAACCTTCACAGAATTAAGAAGCCTGAAGAAGCACTTGTTTTCTCTAATGGTTCACGTTCTGTATTATATTAAGTAAAAGGTTTAATTAATTATTTAGGAGATAACCTGGTTTTCTGGAGGATACTGCAATTCAGATGGATAATTTGCAGCAAATAACTGGAATGAACTCTACGTGTTCTGCAGTCCTGAGAGAACTTAACTTTGCCATCCTATTATTTCAAATGGGAAGGTTGAATGGGAGCTGCTGTGGCTGTTTCCTATTACTTAGCTATAAGGATGGAAGTAGCATAGAAGTGATGTTTTTGCTGCATACAGCTATGGAAAATACCTTTACATTTTTGATTTGTCATACTTATTTTTTGGGGGGAGTGAAAAGCAATGTAAAACTTTGCTTTGCTTACATCCCTGTGGAAATACCTAATTTTTTATTTGTGTGTATATATACATGGGACATTTGATGGAAAATACAGGAGTCTGGAAACCAGATTCTGTGAGGTCATAGAAGTTTATTATATATTTATTATATCCAGTAAACTAATACTGTCCTCAATATAATTTTTAGTATTTTATGGCAGAGAATTACTTTGTTTACCTTAATTTTACTGTAGTGTTATTAGTAGTAATGTTACCTCCTTGCATACTCTAAAAAACTCTTTACATTCTTTGCAGTAAATATGCATACATAAAAAAAAAATGCTCTCTCAAGCATTATACGTTTGATGTATTAGGACATCCTCACCTAATTCAGAAATATTTATAGGAAATACCTCTTGAAGATGGTACTCATGTCCACCCCCCATATCATACTTGTGGAACTAATTGAGGCTCGCTCTTGGATGGCTTGGGTGGGATCTGTACCCACACAGCTTTGAACCTGAGTTTGGGATTGCTTTCACTCTTAGCCAGGTGATTTCCAAAATATTCTAGGCTGTTTTCTTAAGCTTTTCTTCTGGTAGAACTTGCAATGTATTGGCTTGAAAGGAGGACGTAAATTGAGTGAATTGAGTACTAATAAATCTATATGGTCTCTTCATGATTTCCCAGAAGTCTTCCCACAACTGGCTGGTAAAGAACCTTAAAGCAGTGAATGTAGTGGGAAAATTCCTAGCCTGGATGTGTTGACGGACTTTGCTTGATCTTGGGTTGGGCTTTTTATAGACTTGCATGGTCCTTGCCAAGGTAATTCTGTGGTGACAATTGCAGCACTCTCAGAATGAGCAAAAACTCTTGATTGGCCCGTGAAAATGATTTTGATGTAGGTCAAGGGCTGTGGGCACATGAGAAGAGTTATGTGGCCAGTACTGAATGAGTCAGTACAGATTATACATCAGCTCTCAGTCCACTCTAGTTGCAAAATACTGCTGCTAAGAGTTACACCAACGAAGCTGTCTAACATTTCTCAGTTGGAATAACCATCAGTATTTTTATGGTCAGTTACTGTCACTAAATAAATAATCCCAGGTGCACTAATCCAATTTTTGATGCTGTGTTTATATCCCTAGATTTTGGTACTGCATTTGTATGATGATTTGGTCAATGCTCATGTAAATATTTCCCACCACTTTTTCAGAAGAGCACTGCCACGCTACAGATATCCCAAGGCCCAGAGAAAATCAGATTCAGCTAGATCCAATGCTAGGAATTTTTTTTTCAGGAAGCTTAGTGGCATGGAAGTTGGAGCTAAGACAGTGGTTTCTTTCAGGTGTTTTAGCCTGATGTAAAACTGAAAAATGTTGCTTTACAGATTCTGTGGTGTCTTTCTGATGGATTGTTCTTGAACCTTACAAGTTGCTGCCTGCCTCCATGCCAGACAAATACATTTTTCAAACTTAACTGTGGCTTAACCGCAGCCGGCAACCAAACATGTAGCTGCTTGCTCACTCCCCTCCCCTCCCCCAGGATGGGGAAGAGAATCAGAAGAATAAAAGTGAGAGAACTTGTGGGTAAAGAAAGCTGTGCATTAAATCAAAGCAAAACAAGGCATTCATTCACCACTTCCTATTGGCAGGCAGGTGTTCAGCCACCTCCAGGGAACCAGGTCTCCATCACACGTACAGGTTACTTGGGAACACAAAGCACCAGCACTTTGAACATCTTCCCCTTTCTTCTTCTTCTCCCCAGCTTTATATGCTGAGCATGATGTCATATGGTATGGAATATTCTTTTGGTCAGTTGGGGTCAGCTGTCCCGGCTGTGTCCCCTCCCAAATCTTTGTGCACTCCCAGCCTCCTCACTGTTAGGGTGGTGTAAGGAGCAGAAAAGGCCTTGACTGCTTTGAAACAACCAAAAGCATTAGTGTGCTACCAACACTGTTCTCATCACAAATCCAAAATGTAGCACTACATCAGCTGCTAGTAAGAAAGTCAACTCCATCCCAGCCAAAACTGTGACAACACTTTGCAACTCCATTTGCAGTTTTAAAAATTGCCCTCATGTTATGCTCTCTGGTATCACGGATAATGTGACCCAGTGTTTGAACAGTCATCCTCTTTTAGGTTTATTTGCTAAGTAAGATCAGATATATGAATTCTTTCTTTGCTTTTTTCCTTTCTTACTCATCCATTAAGATTGATTCCAGGGTTGAATTACTTAGCTTTTTGTCATGCCTAGCACAGTGGAGAGTCAGGTGGGTCTCTAGGGAGCAAAGTGATTTATTCTTATTTTATTTTTTACACTGTATATATTTTCATGGTTTCTAGAATGCGGCTGTCCTATTTGGAAGAAGTACAACAGCTCTTAAAGTGCACAAGATACTGCATTTACTTGAGAGAGAGTTTTTATTTATGGTAGTGGTAGATTCCTGGTATTTTGAGCCAAGGTTGTGTGTGGCTGCTTGCTCACGTTGTGCATTCTTCAATCTAGGGCAGGCCTGGGTTTGAATACTTAGTTTTTGAAGAAACGCTGTTTCTGTGCTTGCAGTGTGCCAAAGGCAGTGATGCATTTTCTGGTGAACCACGTGAAAGACACTCTTCAGAGCGAGCTGGTGGGCCAGCTCTACAAATCCTTGCTGTTGGATGACCTTCTGACGGAATCCGAGGACATGGCACAGCGCAGAAAAGAGGCAGCTGACATGCTAAAGGTATTAAAAAGATCAGGAGCTCATGGGAGTAGCTAATTAAATTGAAAGCATATAAATGTGAGATTTTTTCCTTTTTTTTCTTTTGAAGACTTGCTTTCCTTTTTTCTTTGCTGCTTTTTAAGAGTATGTCAGTGTATTGCTTCTCTCTGCTAGAGGAATTAGAAGCAATATGTGACCGGAAAGTATTATGTAGAGTGAATATTTGGGAAGAGGTGACCTAAACTATACTTTGGGCGTAAAGCAGAAGCCCAAATTTAGTGTTATTTTCACTTATACGTTTGGTTTTAATAATTTGCTCATATTTAACTGTATGGTGTTCTACAGTTCTCCTTTGGGGGATTAAGCTTAATTAAGCTTACAGTGTTTTAAGTGCTGGTTATGTGTATGCTTCACACAGAGCTGCTGGCCAACGGTTGGTGTGTTCAGACAGTACCTTAGAGTACGAACAGGGGGAATGTTGAGACTCAGGATGACCTCTGTAAAGTGCATTGGTGACATGTCCGTGTTGCAGAACTATTGATTTCTTCATTGTTTAATTATGTGATGTATGAGTCTCTGCTCACCTGCAGCAGAAATCTGCTGCTTTGCACCGAGCTGCGCAGAAGGAGCCCCTCTGCCAGCTCAGCTGGAAGGAGCAGCAAGAGCTGCTTCTCTGTCTCACACAGTGTGCTCAAGAGATGGAGTACCCCGAGATACCACTTGCCCAAGACCACTTGCAGCACGTTTAATCAGTGCTATTGTGTGATCAACATTTGAGGGAGGGGAACTGTCTGTTAACTCTCTTTTAAACTGTAAACTTTATAGGGCCAAACACAGCTCAGATTTCTCCAATTGAAGTAATGCTTCCAATAATGTTGTTTCAGCTGGTATTCTCAGCTTTTAAGTTTGCAAAGTTTAGCAGGCTAGACTGTAATGAATGCATCAGAATGCTAAAATGATATAAAATAAGTGCAGTTTCCCTTCTATTTTGAGGAAGGTTTAAAGCACTACAACTGTGTGCGGGGAAAATCTGCCCTTTTTGAGAATTTATTTATAAATAGAAAATGTTAACAAACATAGGTGTTACGGGGAACACTAAATATGTAAAAGTTGCTGAAAACAATGACCTTTTTTTGCTTCTGACTGGAAGTTCAGTTTTCAATTCTCATATCTCTAGGGAAATGATTTAATGACACCTATGTTAAGTTTTACCATTACCTTTTGCTTTGTAGGATTTTCCACTTGCATAATCTTTTGCTCATGGAAAGCTTCAGAGCTGTAAATCAATCTTGTTGTAGGTTGTTACCACTCATTTAGTAATGAAAATGATTGGCTTTAATTTTATTTTTTTAACATCACACTTGCTAGGCTGCTGCTGTTATCTCACTGAAAAGTCCCTTCAGAAAAACTAGGTAACTTTTGGCTTTTCTTGTTTTTCTGTGTGCAGGCCCTGCAGCGAGCCAGTCAGATCATTGCAGAGATTCGTGAGACACATCTTTGGTGAAGACCGTACCAGCCACACTTATTTATATGCATTGGAGGTTATATTGACTTGAAAATTGCTAGGCATGGTATACGGAGTAGAATTTTTATTTATGAACTCTTTATCTGTGTACTGCAACTGTGTAAATCTGCTCATGTAAAGACAGTTGGTTTGATTTGCAGACAGAAAAATATGCTGTATTTTGCGAAATAAGTCCTATTTAATCCACATAATAAATGGCTCTAAATGTTTCCTTACCAGCTTTCTGGTGCAAATTAAAGCAGACCAAGTCTACTGTCTCAGTGACAGTCTCATTTGAACTTGGGGAAAAAACCATTAAAGTTCCAGTGCCTGACTTGCTAAACAGGTTGCCTGTTGTTAAGATGGACGGTGTAGTCTTGTGGCATAGTTTTAAGCTGCTTTTACAATAGAAGTTTAAATACTGTGAAGAGAAGAGAGCACCGAGTATTTTCTTTCATGACTATATTGCATGCACTATGAGAGATGGAGGTATATCAATTTTATAGCACAGTAGAGATGTCTACCGTATTACTTAATGTATGTGTGTCCCCATTTTTTTCCCCAAAACGTTAAAACTGCAGACGAAACTTTGAACTTCATTTAATGGAGTATCATGTAGGAAGAACTAGCCTGGAGCTTGCGAACAATAATAACAGCCTACTAAAAAGTGGGTGCAGAGTTATTCATGTGCACTGGAGCTTGTGTATGAATGTTGGGGATTATAATCAGGTACAAGAACACCTTCCTCTTCCTCCCCTGTGGGACCAAGCCCCTGGACCATCCGGTAGTACGTTTGTTCTGGCAGAATTGAAAAAAAATAAAAACGGATTTCAAAACTGTTACGGGATAGTAAGTGTTTCTTTCAAAACCAGATGTAGTTGGTCAGGGAGAAGAGGATCCCCACACCTTCTTCCAAATTTTGGAATGTGTGACAGTGTGAAAGAAAGTCTGTGGGATTGGAATATTTATACCAGAGATTACAGTTACTTTGAGGAAATTTTATTGTGCTGTAAGTATTGCTTTTTTTTTTTTTTTTCTTTGAGGACAATCCTAAAACTAGGGAATTTTAGGTTGCAAATTACATTGAGTTTATTTTCTTCTGATTATAATTCATACAGATAAATGTTGATCACACTAGCTGTTAAAATGTAAACATTTTAATTTTTATGAATAAAATTTATTTAAACTCCAGCCAGCACACTTGCATGTACTTTTCAAGCAGATTCACTTTTTTGTATAAAGTAAAAATGTTTACTATGGTGTTGCTGATATTTTAACACAACTTGCATGAAAAATAGGACACTGCTGTTAACATCCATGGCTTGCTACTCACTTTCTTCCCTATTTCATCAGTTAATAGAAATGCAGTTCCTTTTGTAAGCTGCTAAAGATTGAATATTTAAAAACTGTTAAAACCTCAGTTTACAAGAAGTGTCTGTTTAAAAATGTATTTTACTCCTGGTAATCTTGAGTTTGGAACCAGTTCAAGCACAAGGAGTTAAGTCTGACAGGTGCAACTTTTGGATACTTTATGCATGATCTGAAATAATTGACACAGAAATATATTGTGTATTTTTAAACAGCCATTATATATGAATTACATGTAATGAATACAAAGGAAGTAATTTTAACTTCTCGCATTCTGTCCAGGGATGGGAGTTCTCAGATTTAAGAAATGTGACTGTAGTAAAGTTTAAGCGCAAGCCACTTTTCAAATCGGCTTTGGTGAATAGTGAAAGCTTTTAATACTTCTGTCAAAAGCATTACATTTCTGTTTGGAATTCACCTGGCACCTCTTTCCTTTTATTTTTGACATCCAAGAAGTCTGTTTTTAACGAGGTAGAGCCGTCCATAAGTGAACTGTTAGCTAAGCTTTCACTCCCACAGTTCAGTCAACAGTCTCTTGTGAAGAAATATTCTGACTTGTAAAGTTTTGAAATGCTGCGTAAAGCAAATGAATTCCATTTGTTTAAGAAATTCCTGCAAGTGATATCTGGCTCTGTAATGTTGTGTGAAATTTCCACAGTGTTGATTTTGCTTTTTGAAATGTTACGACTTTTTTTTTTTTGTTGTTGTTGTTGAAGTTTCACATAAAAATTTCAATTTGGTAATGTTTGAGTGCCAAGAAATGAACTCGATTTGTAAACCTTATTGCGAGTCTTTAAAAATCCATGCTGTAACAGTCCTGTTATTTAATAAACAGATAATACACAAATTAATTATCCCAGAAATTAAGTTTTGCAGTGACTTGTAGTTCAGGTGGCAGGACTTACATGCTCGCAGGTTGATAGTACAGCTTTATGTGTATTTGCACAGCTTTATGTGTATTTGCACAGCTTTATGTGTATTTGCACTTGCCCTCATGCAGTCCTACAGTGTTAGTGCTTGTATAGTTGTGTATCTAATAGTGTAGAGGGGCTTCTAGTGAGCATTAGTGGTTTTTAAACAATCAGTTGTCTGGAATTGAACTAAAATACTTAATGCTACTGTTATTGCCACCATGAAAAGAAATTATAGGAAAACTGTGGAAAAAAAGCCTAATGAGGGCAGCAACTGAAAAATCCCAGATTACACTGATGGTTTACAAATGTCTTCTAGCTCACCTTATTTAATTTAAACTTTTTGTCCTCAATGCACAAATTTTGGCTAACTAAAAATAACTTGCTGTCCAGTGAAACACACAATCATGGGGGAGAACCACCACTGTAGCTAAGTTTAGATTAGTAAATGTTTGACATTAATAGCTGACCTATGTGTGGTACTACTGTAAATAAAAAATAGTATCCCCACGTGAACAGAGTTTGTCAGTAAATTACTTGGGGGTTTTTTTAGGAGTCAGTTTCAAATTTATCTTAGAGGAACTGATGGGTAAGGAGGGTGTCTGTGTGCTTCAAACTGTATTCTGAAGTAAACGTAACAAATTTATGTAAAACTTGCCTTTATTCTACGCTTTATGGAGGACTGACTTTGAAAGATGCCAGACTGGATACTGCAAACTCAGGTCCCTGCTTGAGGAAATACAACAGGTGAAACAGCTTGCCAGGCTGTTGGTAACTTGAATTATCTCGTAGGGGTTTGTTTGTTGGTTGTTTATTTTTCACAGTTAAATGCTGTAGCCATGACAGCGATTGCTAGCTGGTGCTTTCTGTAGGTACCCAAGATCTCAAATGCATCTGCTTTTCACTTGTTGCCAGTTAAAACTCTGTGCTTTGAGGTGAGAGCTAGATGATTGATACTTCAAAGTTTAAGAGAAAAACAGAGTAGACCACCTGAATATGGTTTTATGCCCAGTGATGCTGTTGAAAGTAGGGAAGGTGTTTTCATGCTCTGATAGCTCACTGTTAGTCTTCTTGCTGTGCACCTTTTCACCCGTTGTTGCCAGCTGCCATATGATGTTAAATTCAACTCCTCTGGTGTTTGCTGTGCCTAGATGGTGTACAAATGTTTGTGTTGGGTTTTGTTTGGGTTTTTTTTTTACTACTTGCACTTCTAAACCACACATATGTAGACATGTTAAATGCTTTAATATTAGTTACTACTTGTTTACATTTGAACAAGTTATGTTTCTGATTATCTGAACATACTTGTTTTGGGGTACATGAGAAACAAGACCAGGCTAAAAAAGAATACTCCATTTTTGTGGTCATCCTTGATTCTCAGCTTAAGTATTCAAATGCTCAGTTGTGATAACCCTGTTGACAGTCATGAAAAGTAATGGTTGTGGTTGTGTCCAGCTGTTTCTATGGAAAGAGTCTGGATTGCTAGGAATTGGTCAAAAGGAAGTACTGACTAAATTTCTTGGGAGTTTATGGATCTTATTAAAAACCTTGTATGCAAAGAATTGAATTCCCCTTTTTATTTTGTATTTGTAAAAAGAAATAAAATTCTTGTAATACTTGATCAAAGTGGGTACTAATGCTTTAAAAAAAAAAAAAAGCTGAAATTTGTGGATATATGTGTATCCTACACCATTTGGAGATGCAGGAAAAAAGGCAGGAGAGAGATCAGACATGAAACATGACTTACTCTACTTCTAGGAGTTTATTTCCTGCAACCAGAAAGTAACTGTCAAATCTGATGCCTTTCTCTACAGGCAAACGTGGGTGTGTTCTGGTATATTGTGATCCCAGGTGCATGTTTATGCATTGCTAGAATGCTTGTGCTGTTTAAGGAACAAGGCAGCTATATTAAGTGGATGAACTTTCCTTTCCCTGCTTCTACCCCTTTTCGTGTCAGAGCTGTGATTTTTTTTCCTCCGTATGCTTTCTGTAGGATAGCACTGAGCAGTACTGCAGCTTCAGGCAAAGTAACAAGCAACACAAACTGATCCTGAGAGCCAACAGGATGGGTAGAGCTTTTTTTAAGGTAGGAATGACTCTACTTCTTATTTTTCTTTATATAACAGAATAGGATAGAGAGATCTCATTATCAGGCAGAAAAGTGGGATCTGGAAACTGAAATTAGTACTAGTAACTCATGTGATGAGCTACTGGAAGTACTACCATACTACTTTAATAATCTGAAGAAACTGTGATGTGTAAGCAAGAAACCACTACAGTTTATTACTACTGGAATCTTGATTGAGAGTGCAAATAAAGCCAACATGAAGTTGATCACACCAAGTTGATCAACATCAATTAAAAAAAACCCAGGCAAACAATAACAACCTGCCTGAGAAAACGCAACAGAAACTCCCCACCCAACTACAGAATAGCCAGGTTCTTGAGACTTACTAACATTTTGTATAAGTTCCCCATTCTTCTTATAGGCTGGGTGATTTTAAACCAGGTGAAATACTGTGACTTGTATTCTAACAACATAAGAGATGTTGATGAGTTACCACATGCACGTAGCTAAGATTAAGGCCTCTCCCCTTGTGGCTGTTGTGACTGCCAAACTGCATTGTCTAGGAGTTTCATGGACTAGGAAATTATTCTCCTTGGCCTAAGAGTGAGGATTACCCTAAATCTTGAAAACAACACTGCAGCCAAGCCCAAAGCAATTAATCACCTCATCAGTCAGACTAAGGGTTTTAGATGTGTTTGCACTGGGGCAGGAAGTGCCTAAGTAAGAAAGGGGCCAGCCAGCTGAGCCAGCCAGCTACAATACTGTATCCTAAAAGTCAATTGCCAGTTCTAAGTGATTCAAACATGGGCTTGTATTACAAATAACCTGAGAAACCACATATGGGTTTTGTTGTTTGGGTGACCTGGCTGTAAGTACTGCGGCACCTATAGTGTGTAGGCAACTCAATCCCAAACCCCAGCAGGGGAAAGGAATTTAGCAAGGCACTGTACGAAAATTAAAAAAGCTTTCAGGTACATGTTTCACATCTTCTGGTGTAATATACTGTCTTACAACTGGTGGTATATCTTGGCACTAGTTCTGCAGGCTGTACATTCGACAAAGATTCTAGATGGTGCAAATGCATCCAGGTAATTTACAGGACTGAAGAAAGGGAATGACTGTCACCTATATTGAAAGTCACACAGAAGGGATTCATCAGGTTGATTTAAGCTTTAAAGGCTCTATACTCTCTTACATTTCAATAAGTGAATTTGTGCTGTATTATTACATTAAGGCTGGAAAGCTTTTACGCAACCAATAAGAAACTTAGATTATTATGGTTTACTCATTCTACTCATTTATTGTGAATCTTTTGCAGCTTCCTTCAAAGCAAACCTGTTCAGAAAAAAAAATGCTGATCGTAGGTTGGTTGTCCTTACCCACTTCCACAGGTTCCTCTGTTAGGATGAAGCCAAACTGGGCAGCAGCATACATCCTCCGTAAGAAATACTGGTTTTGAGTGTGCTTTTGCTCATCTTGCTGTGGATTATGCTGTCAAGTACCTGGCCGCTATTCTCCTCCTACAACACAGAAGATTGTTAAAGGAGGGGAACAGCATCTCCATCTTTGGGCTTTGAAATTCATCTTTTCTTCTTCTTCTGCGTATCCTCTTATGAATGGTGCTTCAAATAAGGCAGAGTATCTAAAAAATCTCTTTAGTGGTATAACGTAGCTGCCTTTATTTAAACCCCGTTGGTGTATTTTGAAAATGAAACCATGGTTTTGGGCAGTTTGTGAGCTGCGTAGTAACAGTACAGAAACATCTTCAAGTACATCTTCAAGCAACAGAGTTGAAATGATCCATCATTTTACGGAGAGATTCTGTTGTCACAGCTGCAGCCATTTTATAATGTAGTAATTTTTCTTTCCAATCCTAAGCAGTGATACTCCGTTCTTGAGTATATGCTGTCCGAGAATTAGAACAGTCTCAGGATCAGTCACTCGAATCCCATTTATTGAAACGCCACCATCTGTGATTTTCTGGTACCTTAAAAAAACAAAACAAAAAAACAACTGGTATTGCAAGGGGAAGTTAGTTATTGCTGTTAAGTACTGCAAGTTCAACTAATGTTTTTTTGGCTGGATTCATAAATTTTAATCCCCTTGCACTTTACTTTCAGTCCAGGTCAAGCATGACTGAAATTAACCTTAGCTTCTACCACTCCCATTCCTTCTGACAGGTACAAGGAAACTTGGGCTGTTGCCTTAGGCTGTCCCTTCATCAGCTGTAGATTTTAGAGCTAAGGTATTTGAGACTGAATTATCTTACACTTTTACTTCAAAATGGAATGAGGCCACCTGTTCCCCTCTTCTTGAAGGCTGCTATGTAGATTGCCAGTGTGTTTCTACTTGATTTGGCTGTCCTCATCTTTTGCTTAACTTCTGAAAGCATACGACTACCAACCAGTTTAAGTGAGGTATTACTGAAGAGCACAGGTGGTAACATACCCACTAGGTCCATCTGGAATGGCATTTGCTTTGCGACACAAGTCAAGAACGTTCATTCCAGGTTCAAGCATCAATTCAGCTGAAGGAGCTTGTCTAAAAAGTTCCTGTAATTCTTGGTCAGACATAGCTTCCAGTGCCTCCACGCTGCTGTAATAAAGGGCCTTAGTGCACCTGTGAGAACAAAGATCATTTAAAATACAGTGGTAGTCTCATCTTCACACAAAGTGCCACTCAGGTTCCCCTCCCCAACTTCTTCTCAGGCTCCACACAGGAGTACTTAAAGTACATCCCAGTTCTCTTTTCTATCATAACCCACTGCACTGAAATTTTTTAAAATCTCGTTAATGTATTTTTAAGCCTACAGAATTACTACGTTTTTCTGTTTTAACAGCCGAGCAACAACTAGCTACATGAAAACAGTCCCTGAAAAGCTACGGATAATTACCATTTAATTAATCTGAAAGAAAAACACTTGACAAATCAAACTTCACCTCTTAGCAGATTCTAGCCCCTCTCTACCATGAACAAGCTTGGTTACTTCTGCAGCCAGTCGTTTCTGAGGGCCCCATTTTTCAGGTTCTTTAGCATGCATTTCCATGATGTGGTCAATCTCCTCAAGAGGAAGGAAGGTGAAGAGTTTCAGGTATCTACAAGCAGGGAAAAAATACTTTGTCTGTATTGCTGTCATTACAGATTTCCTGCCTTTGTCATTCAAACTTAACTATGCTAAAATGATTCTTAGTGAATTTAAGAAATCCATATTAAAGGTGTTCTGTTCTTTCAAACAACTCTTTGTTTTTCCCCCATGCTTCAGCTTACCAGGATAACTCATGTTTTATTTAATACGCTGTCTAGCATAATTTCTTCAGACATAAGATAGGGTCAGATGCTTTTACAGAGCGTGCATTGCAATCAGCAACTTGGTTTTCTCTTGAGACTTTTACAGGTTTATTGCACTTGTGTGTCAATTACAAGGTTTTCTATTATATTCTTAGCAGTTGCACAATATGCTAATGCAAAATGCCACTGCCAGTCTGTGGTGATCGTGAGACAGGAGTATGCTATGGATTGACAAGTTATCTCAGCAGGAAGATTATTTAGGATAATCAAGAATTTAAAGGTCAGTATCTAAGCATACGCTCCGCAACAAAGTCTTGTTTTGATGCAGTGTATTTAAAAAAGGTACCTTTACTGTTACAAAGTCTGAATGCATGAAATACTTTAAGTACCCACATACCATTCTTTTCAGTCTGAAAAGTGTTGTGGATCCAGAACCTAAATTTGAAATACCAGAGAATAAACCCTTGAGAGAGGTAACTGAGTTATGAGACAGGTCACAATATGAAAGTACATGTCTGACACTTATGAAGGCTCTGATTTGACAGTGACACCGAATTTTAAAGAAAAACAGATTTAAAAAGAAACATATAGCAACTTATTAAAATTAACCTAATGCTCTGAAAAGAGCTATTGGCTATTTATTTTCAGCTGTGTCACTGGCACACCAGCATGGAGGCTAGCCATCAATGAAGGTAAACCTGTCAAATGGTATTCCTCATGTATTTGCTACCCTTGCGTTATCATTATATGATTTTAATATTTTTTACACTAGTCAGGAAGAATATGAGTTACATGTGGTTGACCTGGGTTCAGAGACAGTACAATGAATTCAAGACCATGTTCTGCTCACTAGAATTGCTCTACTTACTCTAAGTTATGATTGTTCAGAATTTTGTCTTTGCACGTGCTACAGGTTTAAGTAGTAGTTGGATATCCTTCCAGCTTTTGGTGCATTAAAGTCTCATCTGCTTTACAGATGAATACACTTGCCATTATAACTGTACATAGAAATCTTTGCTTTTGCACTCCAAGGTTAAGAAAGATGAACAGATAACTTCAATGAAACATTTAATAAGTCAGATTGATGCAAATTGTTCCTGTCATTTTCGAAAAGATCCACTAAAGTCTCCATGCAAGGTATATGAAAAGAACATCAAACAGCCTTAAGGTTACACCATGTTAGTTATTATTGGTCGTTTATGTAACAAGCACTCCTCCCATCATCTAAGCATTTTTAATTAATGCTTAAGAATTATTTTACATGGATAGAAATAGATGATATGTTTGTCTAGAGGTGGGCAAAATTACATGAGACATTTTTACCAGTTACGCTACTTAACTATAGCCTAAGGTGCTGACTACTAGCTTTGAAGAGGTGCAAGCAACTAGTAATCTGACCAGGTATGGGAATTTTGTTCATTCTGGTTTTCTTCTCTGCCTTAGATTTTCCCTTTCAACAACTGAAAGCTTCTACCTTGTAAATTTATTGTATACTACCTGCCATGAGCTTTTAATGGTATAATTCTCTTCCCCCATTTAATTATATTATTACCACTGTCTAACTGTCTCCTAGGCATGTTTTTATCTAAACCAGTGGTTTCCAAAGTGGGGTTGTCAGCAACCCAGGAAGTATGCAAGGTGATCCATTGGGTTGCAGGAAGAAAATATCAGAACTTCAGAAGTACACTTATATAATCTGTAAATAAATAAATGCACACGTATTGGGAGTGAATGCTCAAAATTTTTTTACTGATAGGGGCACGTGATCAGAAAAAGTTTGGAGACCACTGATCTAGAGAGTTAATGCAATCAGAAATATGAACTTCTTCGCTTTTTCTTAACGATGCACTTTTAATTTGCTTAGGGATATGTAGTTATTCATCTGATGCAGTTCTAGAAGCTGAACTTTGTGTTTATTTATAACCAGTTAAGTAGCTTCTTGCAATGAGAATGTGGTGTTTCTGGATACCTTGTACTAAGTGAAAACTTGTAGAAATTACTATCTATTAAACTGGAGTTGCTTTTTAATCAGGAGAAGAGATTTCATTTGATACTGTGATATTACGGTACCCAAACTAGCTTACCTCATAAGATAAAGTCACCCCAGTGGCAGAACAAAATGCATTACACTTTACTTGTTTGTTCATCCACACTCTAATTTTATGATGCATATGCCAGCATACAGAGACAGGTCCCACTATCCTGTATACTTAGGAACCAGTCTTGCCTGTTCATGTAATGAATGCACAGTTATAATTAACATGTACTTCTACATGGAGCTTGTGTTGCACATATCCAAATAAAACAGTCAGAGAGAACAGTTAGGATCAGGTTTTATAAAAAATGCCAAAAAGCAAGATGAATTAAAACTACTTACTTTTCAACTACGTTATCTTGTTGCCTGACAAAAAACTGATATAGCTCAAATGGAGAAGTCTTATCTCTGTTTAGCCAAACTGCATTGCCAGCAGTCTTTCCCAGTTTATCTCCAGTAGTACTGGTAATAAGAGGTACAGTAATTCCAAACACATCTGTTCCGGTCATCCTAAGAAAGAGAAGTGTAATTGCATATTAAAATAAATACATCACATCTTGGTAAAGTTGACTAAAAGACAAGCGTGCTTTAAGATTCTATCCTTGATATAAAGCAGTTAAATAAGAGAGGGGCATAAGGGGCAAAAGATACCAGTACACTGTTTTGTGAGGAGTGCTTTAGGAAAAAACCAACCAACCTTAAAATTCTTATGTGTGTAACAAAGAAGTGTAGATACTTTAAGTAGCTCTGTGAGCAACAGCACTAGCAAATTTGTATGTCCTGTACCTTTCATCTTCTGCTCTGAGCACTAATAGAAGGGACACTTGTAAGGCTTTTCTTCTGTGCTGATTCTGTGTCTTGCAATAGACAAGCATGAGCAGAACTGGAAGCATTGCCACATACTCACTGATTGGCCTGGGTACTTCTGTGAATTTTCTAAGACTCATACCAAATTCGTGTCTCATTTTATTTAAGAAATGCAAGCATATTTATCAATATACCACAACTGCCTCTAGAATGTGTTTGCCATCAGAAGACTCGTCTCAATTTTTGTCCCATGTTTCAGGATATGTGATTTCGGTTCTTGCAATTCAGAAATACACAAACCCATCCTTTTTCTTAAAAATTCATTAACATTTCACAGAAAAGACTTAAAAACATGGTCAAAATGTACATACGTGCCAGGCTTATGGCCAGGACAAATAATTATTCTTCTCAAATCCCATGTTTTTCATAGAATTGTCTAGCTTGGAAGGGACCTTTCACATCATCAAGTCCAACTATCAACCTACCACCGACAAACGCATCACTAAACTATGTCCTTAAGCAGCACATCTACCTGTCTCTTAAATACCTCCAGGGATGATGACTCAAATGCTTCCCTGGGCAGCCTGTTCCAATGCTTGATAACCCTTTTGGTGGATATTTGGAAAAAAAAAAATCTACAATCTAAACCTCCCCAGGTGCAATATGAGGTCCTTCTTGTGGCATGTCAACTGTCTGAGGGGGTGTCTTCTGCTGCTTTAGGTGCTGACCACACCAAGCCGGGCAGAGCCAGGCCACCCCATGCCCTGACCCCAAGCATCCCTGCCCTCCTCCCGACCCCTCCCTTCTCGTACTTGGTGACGAGCTCGTAGCCGGACATGATGTTGCCCATCTGGTCGGCTCCCCCGAGCTGGACGCGGCAGCCGTGGTGGCGGTGGAGGTGTAGGAAGTCGTAGGCCTGCAGCGCCGGGTAGAGGAACTCGGCCAGGCTCATGCCCTCGGGGCTGCGCAGCCGCGCCTGGCAGCTCTGCCGGCTCAGCAGCGTCCCCATGCGGAGCCGCCCGCCCGCCCCGCCGAGGAAGTCGAGCAGCGGCTCCCTCCCCAGCCAGCAGGCGTTATCCAGCAGCTCCGCCCGCCCCAGCCGCCCGCCGCTCGCCCCCCAGAACAGCTCCCGGTGGTTCCCGAAGAGCCGCTCCAGGCCGGCCCGCAGACCCCGCGCCTGCTCCCGCACCCGCTCGGCCGACGGCGCCTCCCGCGCCCGCTCCCTCCCGCTGGGGTCCCCCAGCCGAGCCGTAGCGCCCCCCACCACGGCGATAACGTTGTGGCCGGCCCGCTGGAAGTGGAGGAGCCCCATAACGGGCAGCAGGTGCCCGACGTGCAGCGAGTCGGCGGTGGGGTCGAAGCCGCAGTAGGCGGTGAGGGGCGGGCGGCCCGGCTCCAGCAGCCCCGGCAGCTGCTCCTCCGCGCTCTGCGCCGGGAACACCTCCTGGAAGAGGCCGCGCTCGCACTGCACCGCCAGCAGACCCCCGGCGCCCCGGGCCCGCCGCGGCTGCTCCTGCTGATGGTGGTGGGCTCGGCGCCGGAGAGGGAGCGGCGGCGGCGGAGCCCGGAGAGGGCAGCCCCACAGCCCCGCCGCCCGCCCGCACCGCCGCCTCAGCGCCGGCGCCGCCATCTTGCCGCGGGGGAGGCTGGGAGCGGGGCGCCTCCGTTTAATAGGCAGAGGCGAAGGCGCTACGGCGGCCGGCGCGTGCCTGTGGGGTTATTAAAGGAGAAACATACAGAAACGGGATGTGTTGGAGTCCCCTTTCAAGGCCAGGCTGGATGTGGCCTTGAGCAGCCTGCGCTAGTGGGAGGTGTCCCTGCCCATGGCAGGGGGGTTGGAACTAGATGATCTTTGAGGTCCCTTCCAACCCTGACCATTCTATGATTCTCCTTTGGGTTTTTTCCCCAACCCTGAAATACCAGGATTTAAGGCTGCTTCCAGGCTTAAATCCACGCCTTGGGGAGGTTCAGGCTGGATATTAGGAAAAATTTTTTCACTGTAAAGGGTTATCAGACATTGGAATGGGCTGCCCAGGGAGGTGGTGGAGGCACCATCCCTGGAGGTGTTCAAAAGACAGGTTGATGTAGTGCTGGGAGGTATGGTTTAGTGATGGTGATGCTTCTTGTTTGATGTGCGGGTGTCTATTTTTGTCAGTTAGGTTGACGGTTGGACAAGATGATCTTTGAGGTCCCTTCCAACCTAGAAGATTCTGTGATTCTGTGAAATCTGGGGCCTTCGGCTTGGAGTCGAGTGTCGGGCAGAAGGGATGCCAGATTAACGCTTTAATTAGTCACATAGCGGCGTTGTGGCCGGCCCGCTGGAAGTGGAGGAGCCCCATAACGGGCAGCAGGTGCCCGACGTGCAGCGAGTCGGCGGTGGGGTCGAAGCCGCAGTAGGCGGTGAGGGGCGGGCGGCCCGGCTCCAGCAGCCCCGGCAGCTGCTCCTCCGCGCTCTGCGCCGGGAACACCTCCTGGAAGAGGCCGCGCTCGCACTGCACCGCCAGCAGACCCCCGGCGCCCCGGGCCCGCCGCGGCTGCTCCTGCTGATGGTGGTGGGCTCGGCGCCGGAGAGGGAGCGGCGGCGGCGGAGCCCGGAGAGGGCAGCCCCACAGCCCCGCCGCCCGCCCGCACCGCCGCCTCAGCGCCGGCGCCGCCATCTTGCCGCGGGGGAGGCTGGGAGCGGGGCGCCTCCGTTTAATAGGCAGAGGCGAAGGCGCTACGGCGGCCGGCGCGTGCCTGTGGGGTTATTAAAGGAGAAACATACAGAAACGGGATGTGTTGGAGTCCCCTTTCAAGGCCAGGCTGGATGTGGCCTTGAGCAGCCTGCGCTAGTGGGAGGTGTCCCTGCCCATGGCAGGGGGGTTGGAACTAGATGATCTTTGAGGTCCCTTCCAACCCTGACCATTCTATGATTCTCCTTTGGGTTTTTTCCCCAACCCTGAAATACCAGGATTTAAGGCTGCTTCCAGGCTTAAATCCACGCCTTGGGGAGGTTCAGGCTGGATATTAGGAAAAATTTTTTCACTGTAAAGGGTTATCAGACATTGGAATGGGCTGCCCAGGGAGGTGGTGGAGGCACCATCCCTGGAGGTGTTCAAAAGACAGGTTGATGTAGTGCTGGGAGGTATGGTTTAGTGATGGTGATGCTTCTTGTTTGATGTGCGGGTGTCTATTTTTGTCAGTTAGGTTGACGGTTGGACAAGATGATCTTTGAGGTCCCTTCCAACCTAGAAGATTCTGTGATTCTGTGAAATCTGGGGCCTTCGGCTTGGAGTCGAGTGTCGGGCAGAAGGGATGCCAGATTAACGCTTTAATTAGTCACATAGCGGCCGTGGGGCGGTTGGGGTTGGGGTTTGGGGTGGGATGGGGCTGACCTTCATGCTGGCAGCTGGTGTGGTGCAGTGTGCTGGGCTGGGGACAAGAAGGCTGCTGGTAGCGCAGCGGCGATTTGGGTTGTTGCTGGGTGATCAAGGCCTTTTCTCCTCCTCACACCGGGGACGTGCTAGAAAAATAACACCACAAAGGTTGTTTTTCTTGGGCTGGCAGTTCCTTGAAGGGCAGCTGCTCCTCCGCGCTCTGCGCCGGGAACACCTCCTGGAAGAGGCCGCGCTCGCACTGCACCGCCAGCAGACCCCCGGCGCCCCGGGCCCGCCGCGGCTGCTCCTGCTGATGGTGGTGGGCTCGGCGCCGGAGAGGGAGCGGCGGCGGCGGAGCCCGGAGAGGGCAGCCCCACAGCCCCGCCGCCCGCCCGCACCGCCGCCTCAGCGCCGGCGCCGCCATCTTGCCGCGGGGGAGGCTGGGAGCGGGGCGCCTCCGTTTAATAGGCAGAGGCGAAGGCGCTACGGCGGCCGGCGCGTGCCTGTGGGGTTATTAAAGGAGAAACATACAGAAACGGGATGTGTTGGAGTCCCCTTTCAAGGCCAGGCTGGATGTGGCCTTGAGCAGCCTGCGCTAGTGGGAGGTGTCCCTGCCCATGGCAGGGGGGTTGGAACTAGATGATCTTTGAGGTCCCTTCCAACCCTGACCATTCTATGATTCTCCTTTGGGTTTTTTCCCCAACCCTGAAATACCAGGATTTAAGGCTGCTTCCAGGCTTAAATCCACGCCTTGGGGAGGTTCAGGCTGGATATTAGGAAAAATTTTTTCACTGTAAAGGGTTATCAGACATTGGAATGGGCTGCCCAGGGAGGTGGTGGAGGCACCATCCCTGGAGGTGTTCAAAAGACAGGTTGATGTAGTGCTGGGAGGTATGGTTTAGTGATGGTGATGCTTCTTGTTTGATGTGCGGGTGTCTATTTTTGTCAGTTAGGTTGACGGTTGGACAAGATGATCTTTGAGGTCCCTTCCAACCTAGAAGATTCTGTGATTCTGTGAAATCTGGGGCCTTCGGCTTGGAGTCGAGTGTCGGGCAGAAGGGATGCCAGATTAACGCTTTAATTAGTCACATAGCGGCCGTGGGGCGGTTGGGGTTGGGGTTTGGGGTGGGATGGGGCTGACCTTCATGCTGGCAGCTGGTGTGGTGCAGTGTGCTGGGCTGGGGACAAGAAGGCTGCTGGTAGCGCAGCGGCGATTTGGGTTGTTGCTGGGTGATCAAGGCCTTTTCTCCTCCTCACACCGGGGACGTGCTAGAAAAATAACACCACAAAGGTTGTTTTTCTTGGGCTGGCAGTTCCTTGAAGCAGCAGGTGACCAGTTCAGGCCTTTCTCTCCACGCTGCCATTCGAGGGGAAGGGATTTTCTTCAGCTAAGAATAGAGCTGTGAGGAACCAGGAAGTTCACGGGCAAGTAAAATTACAGCTGAAGACACTGAAACCAATTTTCTACTGAATTCCACAGGACAGTGTTTTAAACAGGCTCAGACTTTTCAAGTTTATAAATTCTAGAGTTTGTAAGTTCTTGTCATGGTTTAACCCCCAGCCAGCCAGTAGGCTGGGGGTGAACAAAGAGTTGAGAGGGGACACAGCAGGGACAGCTGGCCCCAGGTGACCACAGGGATATTCCATGCCATATGACGTTGTGCTCAGCGTATAAAGCTGGGGAGAAGAAGAAGAAGGAAGGGGGAGGGATGTTTGGAGTGGCAGCATTTGTCTTCCCAAGTAACCATTACACATAATGGAGCCCTGCTTTCCTGGAGATGGCTGAGCACCTGCTGCTGATGGGAAGCAGTGAATCAGCTCCTTGTTCTGCTTTGCTTGCGTGCGTGGCTTTTGCTTTACCTATTCAACTGTCTTTGTCTCAACCCATGAGGTTTTCCTCACTTTTACTCTTTCGATTCTTTCCTCCACCCTAAATGGGAGTGAGCAAGCGACTGTGTAGTTCCAGTTACTGACTGGATTTTCTGTACTCATTTGTGCTGTACCAAGCATATGGGATTTCCAAGGTCTCTCCAGTATCATTTACTACCTTTTCTGTATTGAAGTAGACTTCTTGTTTTGTTAAACTAAGGCAGAAAGTCAGTCAAAAGGAGGAGTGAAGAGTTCTGGAAAATGCTAGACAAAGAACACCAAAAATATTGTTTTTCTTGGGCTGGCAGTTCCTTGAAGTGGCAGTGACCGATGCAAGGCTTTCTCTCCATGCTGCCATGTCAGCAGAAGTGACTTACTTACTTCACCTAACAATACAGCTGGAAGGAACGAGGAAGTTCATGGGCAAGTAAAATAGATCTGGTGAGAAACTAATATTAAATCGTTTAGAGAAATGACATCAGTTTTATAATGAGCCCTTCCAATCTTGGGCAGTCTTGCTGTGTATATTGATTACATAGGTAACTATTGGCAGACTGTATTTCAGAGGGAAATATACCTCATAAAATAGGAGGTATTTAGATTGTCCAATTTCTCTTGAGTTCACCTAGCCTGGAGAAGATGTTTTAATAGAGATTTGGGCAGTGCTAAATAACGATACCGTTACAAATCTATCTTTTAATCCATCGCTTGAAGTTGGGTGGAGAGCATTTTTTGCGTGTTTGTAGTGGTCATAGATCAATCTCTAGTTCTGGACAACTTCTCTAATTCACCAAACTTACCTCCTTGTGACATACAAATATTGACAGGGTGGATCCAAGGTAGTGTCAAAAGTGAAACACAGTGTATATGACTATGACTCACAGGAGAGAAGGAAGATATAAAAGTGTGAGTTTTGCCACTTGAAACCTATTATCATTGAAGGCTTCTTGAAAACAGACCTACGGGTAAGTGAGGTACAGAATCGTTCTATCACACTGGGGATAAACATAATGGAAGAAAATCATGTTTGGGTGGAAAATAACGAAAGAAGGAAAAATAAAAGTTCATTAAGCATCAGTGAGCTAATCCTAAAGCGATGAGGTATCTGTCAATGGGAAATAATTAATGCTTCTGCTAATGATGTTTAAAAAGAAAAGGTGCCGTGAATTATTTTGTCATTGGACTGGTAGTTGCATACTTAACAGGTATGGTACAAATTGATTTTGTTTTTCTGAAGATTTATTGTGCTGGCAAAAAGAAAGAGGATTGGCAATACAAAATACCAGATTTTCCTTTACCTTTTGTTTATGTTTATGTGGGGCGAAGGGTGTTTATTATATTTTAAAACATGAACAAACACAAACAAGTTACGTGTTTGTATATACACCTATGTAATATACACACAGACATACAC